GTTGAGGCTGCAGTGAGCCATGTTCATGCCACCACACTCCAGCCTGGGCAACAGAGCAAGACCCTATCTCAAATAAATAAATAAATAAAACTATGCTTATCATGTTAAATGAAACAAATGACAAAAGTATTTTCAGGGAGCATGAAAGTAAAATGTGAAAAAAATAGATTTGAAAAAGAGCCAAACAGGATTCCTAGAAATGAAAACAGGATATGTAATAACCTACCCTGGGCTAGCATCACTGACTCCACCTTGGCTGTAAACTCCAACACAGCTTCCCCCTCCCTACCATGGCCCCTTTGGGTGCATAACTGGGCCACACTGCCGCTGTGCTTATGTCATGCTGACTCTGTGCTTACCCTACCATATAACCAATGTAACTGCAACCTGCTTGGCAGGCACACCTGCTATTGTGTATAACTCTCTTTGAACCCCCCTTGGTGACTGTATGGAAATACCCTTAGTAGCCAACAATCCCGGGAACCTCCTCCCCGCTGGTTACTAGCTAACTTGCTTATTCTGCTTCTGTAAAATTCCACTTCAGCAAGGCTCCCCCTCCCCTACCTAAATCAAGGTATAAAGGGAAATCAAGCCCCTTCCTTGGGGCCGAGAGAACTTTAAGCCTTAGCCGTTTCTCGGTCGCCAGCTAATTAAAAGGACTCTTAATTTGAAACTCATTATGTGGCACATTCCTCCTAACTTGCTCGGATATTACAGATACCCCAAACTTCAAATTCAATGGACTATTAGTGGCAGACTGGACACAGCCAAGGAGAGAATTAATGAAATGAAAGTCAATGCAGAAGAAATTATCCAGAATGCAGCTTGGGGAAAACAGAAAATACCGAAGAAAGGGTAAGAGATACGTGGGATACAGTAAGGAGGTCTAATATATTTGCTTAAAGTCCCAGAAAGAGAGAAGTGGGAAAACTAGGCAGAGGAAACAACAGAAAAGGTAATGCTGTGAGTTTCACCAACCTGACCGCTTATCCACAGATTTGAGAGCCCAGTAAATCCCAAACAAGGTAAATAAAAAGAAACTGTCATCTAATATATCATAGTGAAGTTACAAAATAAAATAAAAATATTGTCCAAGTGTGTATGGAGAGGATGCCCTTCAAAGCAGCGACGATTAGATTGATTTTCCACAGCAGTGAGAGAAAGAAGACAACAGTGCAAGGAATCATCTTTTTTTTTTTTTTTTTTTTTTTTTAAAGATGAGGTTTCACCATGATGGCCAGGCTGGTCTTGAACTCCTGACCTCAGGTGATCCACCCACCTCGGCCTCCCAAAGTGCTAGGATTACAGGCATGGGCCACCACCACGCCCAGCAAGGAATCACCTTGAAGAAAACAATTGCCAAGAAAATTTTCAAGAATTAAAATGAAATAAGAATAGTTTTAACAAACAAAATTGAGAGTCTGTATCAGGTCTCTAAATTCTTTGTAGAAATGGTCCCCGACTTACAATGAATTGACTTAAGATTTTTCAGCTTCACAATGATGCAAGAGCGGTACCAATTCAGTGGAAACCATACTTTGAGTAATTATACAGCAATTCTGTTTCCCTTTCAGTATTCAATAAATTGCATGAGATATTCAACATTTTAAATAACCTGTGTGTTAGATGATTTTGCCCAACTGTATGCTAATGTAAATGTTCTGAGCAAGTTTTGAGCCTCTGTTGCCCAGACTGGAGTGCAATGGTGTGATCACAGCTCACTGCAGCTTCCAACTCCTGGGGTCAAGTGATCCTCCTGCTTGCAAGTCCCTGGGATTACAGGCATGAGCCACTATGACTGAGATCTCTTATTAACATAAATTTCCTTCTAAGTAGTGCATTTATTGATTCCCATAAGTTCTGCTGTTATGTCTTCATTTTAATTCATTCCAAAGTATATTCTAATTTCCCTTGTGATTTTCTTTAACCATTCATTATTTATGAGTATGTTGTTTAATTTCCATATCTGTGGATTTCCCAATTTTCCTTCTGTTAATAATTTCTCATTTCATTCCCTTGTGAGTGGAGAGCATACTTTGTATGATTTCAATCCTTTTAACTTTATAAGGTTTGTTTTATGGCCTGATACATGGCCTATCCTTCAGAATGTTTTATGTACACTTATGAAGAATATGTATTCCGATGTTCTTGAGCAGAATGTTCTCTAGGTATCTATTAGGCCTAGTTGCTTTAAAGCATTAAGTCTTCTATTTCCTTGTTGATCGTATGCCCGGTAGTTTTATCCATTACTGAAAGAGGGATATTGCATTTCTCCTTTTAATTGTCACTTTTTATTTCATGTATCTGGGTCTTGTTGCTTTTATGGAAGAACTGATTTTCTAAGGTCTTTATTCCACCATTCCAGAAGTGCTTCCAGCATTGATATCTTATTTCAAGCTAAGAGAATGTATAAGCATTTCAGTTAGAATCAACCTTGTTTTATAATATCTTTTAGGCCACAATATCGAGGTTCATACACTGTGCAATGATCATATTCATTTTCTATAGAATTAACAGTTAACAGATCTTAGCATCAGTGACATATATGAAGATTAAGGTAAATTTGAAGATAAAAACTAATATACCAATCCTAATGCCCTCTTCAGTTTTTCTGTGTAGTAATCATAGGCACCATATCTCTGATATCCTGAAACATTACATTTCTCTTAGGCTGCATATTTCACCTGAAAATCATAATCATGAAACTATACAGCCGTCAGGATTTTATCTCCATCTAGAATCTATATAGGCTCCAACCTAGTTTACCTTAATATACTCAAGGTCTCTAAATTCTTGGTAGAAATGGTCCCTGACTTATAATGAATTGACTTAAGATTTTTGAGCTTTACAATGAAAAGTTTTGTGTAGGCTAGGCTAAGCTATGACGTTCAGTAGGTTAGGTGTGGTAAACGCATTTTGGGCTTATAATATTTTCAACTTATGATGAAGGACATAACCTCATCGTAAGCTGAGGAGCATCTGTATATGACCTTATATAATAAATATTTTACTTAGATTATTTTGGTTTCTTAACTGCACACCTGAACATTACTTCTTTCTTACAAGGTTTGTTTTGTTGTTGTTGTTGTTTTTCTTTTTTTTTGAGAGGGAGTTTCCCTCGTTGCTCAGGCTGGAGTCCAATGGTGTGATATTGGCTTACCGCAACCTCCACCTCCTGGGTTTAAGTGATTCTCCTGCCTCGGCCTCCTGAATAGCTGGGATCACAGATGTGTTCACCACACCCAGCTAATTTTGTATTTTTAATAGAGACGGCGTTTCTCCATGTTGGTCAGGCTGGTCTCAAACTCCTGACCTCAGGTGATCTGCCTGCCTCGGCCTCCCACAGTGCTTGGACTTGGAGTCACAGGCGTGACTCACTGCACCCGGCCCAAGGTTGGTTTTTTACTACAAAGCAAACCTATAATAAAATACTAAATTGGAATTTCATTAGTCTCTATAATACAGAACTTCACCCGGTAGATTATCCTCTAGTCTATATTCATAAAAAGCTCTAAGTTGTTCTTTTCATATCAAGTTCATCCAATTGCAAATACTAAAAACTTATTTTGTATTCAGCAGTCTATTCAAAAACTTATTTTGTATTCAGTTTTGCTGGCAAAAAATTGTGAGCCTAAAGCTCAAAACAATTATGAAAATAGTTAAGCTCAGTCAGAGACTGAGTGGCTTACTGCTATTATAGACATCTGCAATGTAACATGTTCTTCTGGAAGATTCCAATGAGAGTGATTATAGTATCTTTGCCTAATATAGCTTGGTGCAAGTATTCTGCATATATAATTATGTAGATATCTAGTCCTAGATTATCTTATTGCACTTGTGTTCATGGTTGTCAGTATTTGATTCTTCTATTTATTCAAAATATTCTTTATATTCAGATAGAATTATTTGCCAATTGCTCATATCAAGATAGAGACTGGTGTTGACTAACAACTGAGACTTAATTTTTTCCAAATCAGCTTAAATCCTGATTGCCCATGTGTTATGGGCTGAACAGTGTCCCCTGAAAATTGATATATTGAAGCCCTAATCCCCAGTGTGACTTTATTTGGAGATAGGACCAATAAGGAAGTAATTAAGATTAAATTAGGTCATAAGGGAAGGGCCTTGACCACATGCAGGACTACTGTCCTTATGGGAAGAGGCACTAGAGAGCCCTCTCCCTCCCCCCAACCTCTGTCTTCATATGTGCATTGAGAAAAGATCATGTGAGAATGTAGCTTGAAGGCAGCTCTCTACAAGCCAGGAAGAGAGTCCTCACTAGAAACCAACCCTGCTGGACTTTAACCTGGAAATTCCAGCATCCAGAACTGTAAGAAAATAAATGTCTGTGGTTTAAACAACTTATCCTGTGATATTGTGTTAATGGTAGTCTGAGCAAACTAACATACCATGTTTGGCTCTAGAGGTACAAAAAAGAATCAGGCCTAAGTCCTATACTTTAGTAGTACATTGTCTAATGAGAGACCTTTGTGAAAATACAACGTCATAAAAACTTCAAACTCAGCCTGGGAACCCTGAAAGGCTCTACAGAGCACACATTTGAGTAAGGTTTTCAAAGTCCAACTAGGAGAAGAAACAGCAATCCAGGTAGAGGGAATCCCTAGGAAGGACTCAGAGGCATTCAAAGGCAGGATGTATTTGGTGAACACTGAGAGACCAGAGGGCATAGAGGACATGAGGGAGTGCCAGGAGAGGAGACTGAGTAAATAGACCAGGGCAAGATGTCTATGAAAGGCTCTGAGTGTCAATATATAAGAAAATGTTTATTAAACAACGTGTTAGTTTACTAGGGCTGTCACAGCAAACTACCATTGGCTGAGTGGCTAAATAATAGAAACTTATTTTCTCACAGTTCTGGTGGCCAGAAGTCCAAGATCAAAGTGTCAGCAGGGTGGTTCCTTCTAAGGACTCTCTCCCTGGCTGGCAGATGCCTCTTCATATGGTCTTCTCTCTGTCTATGCATCTACTTCCAAATTTGCTTTTTTTTTTTGAGACAAATTTCGCTCTTTTTGCTCAGGCTAGAGCACAATGGTGTGATATCGGTTTACTGCAATCTTCTGCCTCCTGGGTTTAAGTGATTCTCCAGCCTCAGCCGCCTGAGACTACAGGCACCTGCCACCATGCCCAGCTAATTTTTGTATACCTAGTAGAGATGGGGTTTCACCACGTTGACCAGTCTAGTCTAAACTCCTAACCTCAAGTGATCCACTCGCCTTGGCCTCCCAAAGTGCTGGGATTGCAGACATGAGCCACTGTGCCCAGCCCCCCAAATTTGCTCTTCTTAAGAAGACAGCACTCACATCCAGGCTGGCACAGCCCAGGGAAAGGCCCATTGTAGTAGGTTAAATCATGACCACCCAAAGATATCAAGTCCTAATCCCAGGAATTTGGAAATGTTACCTTATTTGAAAAAGAGGTCTTCACAAATGTGACTTAAGGATCTGGAGATGAGGGGAACACACTGAATTATCTGGGTGGGTCCTAAATGCCATCACAGTGTCTTTTCAGGACAGAGGCAAAGGAAGGTAAGGAGACCCGGAGAAGGTGAGGTCAAGGTTGGGGCGGAGATTGGAGTTTCATAGCCACACACTCAGGAATGCTGGGGTAGCCACCTGAAGCTGGAAGAGGCAAGGAATCTACTATAGGGCAAAGTATAAAAAGAATGCCAATTTATTATTTCATCACTTTGAATCTTATTAATTTGGCTTGGTTTTTATTTTGAGATGGTCTCACTCTGTTGCCCAGGCTGGAGTGCACTGGTGCAATCTCAGCTTACTGCAACCTCTGCCTCCTGGGTTCAAGTGATTCTCCTGCCTCAGCCTCCAGAGTAGCTGGGATTACAGGCACCCGCCAACTCGTCCAGCTAATTTTGTATTTTTAGTAGAGACAGGTTTTTGCCACGTTGGCCAGGCTGGTCACAAACTCCTTACCTCAGGTGATCCACCCACCTCGGCCTCCCAAACTGCTGGGATTACAGGTGTGATCCACCGTACCTGGCCTTTATTGTCTTGAATTTCCTCACCAGAGCATTCTCTTTCCCTGTATCAGTATACTTGAGAAATGCAATTATTAATGTTTCTAATGTGGTATTATTTTGTCATATAAAGGTCCTAGGTTCAAATAAATTTGTGAAAATCTTAAATAGTTTAAAGAGCTTTATGTCATAACTTCTTGGTTCCTATGATCACGTGCTTGTGAGGCTCCAAGACTGGGGAGATATGACATCCCAAGCCTATTTAACCATGGAATACTTTTACTTCAGAGCATTTCTCGGCACTGGCATTCCAATGGCTATTTTTTGATAAATGCTCAACTGCAGCAAAGAAAGGAATAGTCTCGGAGATTTTACTCAGACCAGGAAGCAGCTTAGTGATGAAACGTCCATGACCCACTGAACAGAACACTTCAGTAGTAACCAAAACATTTTGTCTCTAGGTTCCTCATCCCTTTCACCTGGACAGGTATGGATTCATACGGCAAAATAATCTTCTCCAAGCCCAGCTTACTTGGCTTTTATTAACAACACCTTCTTCTGAAGACTATTTTTTTTTTTTTTTGAGAGAGACAATCTTGCTCTATTGCCCAAGCTGGAGTCAATAGTGCAATCATAGCAGCCTCCAACTTCTGGGCGCAATCAATCTTCCCACCTTAGCCTCCCTAGTAGCTAGGACTACAGGCTCATGCTAATTTTTTAAAATTTTTGTAGAGATGGGGTTTTGTTTAGTTGCCTAAGCTGGTCTCAAACTCCTGGCCTCAAGCAATCCTCCTGTCCTGGCCTCCCAAAGGAATTATTTTCTTAAATTTGTTTTGATTATTAATTTAGCCAGATAGATTTTCCCTAATCAACTAGACTTTATCTATTGACTACTGAGGCAGCTCTAACAAATTACCACAAACTTGGTAGCTTAAAACATGAGAAATGTATTCTCTCCCAGCTCTGAAGGCTAAAAGTTGAAAATCCAGCAGGGCCACACTCTCTCCAAAGGCTCTAGGGGAGAATCTTTCCTTGCTTCTTCCAGTGTCTGCTGGCTCCAACCCTTCATTCTCTTGCTGTCTTCACATGAATGCCAGCTCCTCCTCCCTTAAGAACACCTGCCACTGCATTTAGTGTCCACCTGGAAAATCCAGGGTCATCTCATCTCAAGGTCCTTAATCACATCTATAAAGACCCTTTTTCCAAATAAGGTCACATTTACTGGTGTAGTGGATTAGGATGCTGGCATGTCTTTTGGGGGCCACTAACTATCCAACCCACTACATCCCTCAAAGAAGTATTAGTACCGGCCTGCCACCAAGCTCGTCTCTGCGTACTTACAAAGGGTCAGACCTGCAAAGGTGAGGGCCGCATCGCGGACAGTAAACCCATCTGGTAGTACCTTTCTGCTTCACCATGTACCATCCCCATCACCTCCTTCAACCAAACAGCAGTAGAAGTCATGATTTCCATTTTACAGACAGACAAATAAACTGAGGTTCCATGAATGTGAGTAAAACCTCCAAGGGCACAAAGCTAGTCAGTGACAGAACTGGAATTCAGACTTGGGGCTTTATGACTATGAAACCACACTCTCAACTCCATCTCACTATCTTCTGCAGTCCTTCTACGACTATTAGTCTTATCTACTTCTGAGCCATACAAAACACATAGAGCAGACAACAAACAACGAGACTTTTCCAGATGTGTGGAGCGTTTTGTATCCTGTTTTCCCATTTCTGGTCTTAACATCCCTGGCTCCTTCAGCCTTCACTTAGATGACATGGCTTGTCCCCTACCCTTTACAGTCACATTCTCCAAATCCGTGGGACTTAAGTCTACATGCTTTAAAGAATGTTTCCCAGAGCACACTAATTATAAACACCAACTTTTATTTAGTACTTATGTGCCAGGTTCTGTTTAAAGCACTTGAATTGTATTACTTAAATCTTCAGTAATCTTGTTAGCTAGGTCACTGTTATTCTCCATTTTGGAGATGAGGAGACACAGAAGTATCCTGCTCTAAGTCACAATGCTAGGAAGTGAAAGACAGTATTAAAATGCAAGCAGCCAATCTCCAGGGCCCTGCATGGTTAGCCTCTACCCTCTATGCTGCCTCCTGTTGTGCCTACAAGTTTGGTCTCAACTGCTGTGAGTAGGAAGAGACCCTTTCCCTCCTTCCAAATATTAAACAATGCCACCTAAGATCATATAACGGTCATATCACATATGGGCATTTGGACATTGCTAAATGTATGCCCAGCACTGATTCCTTTCCTCTTTCTTCTCAAAAGGATCCCAATTTTGTTCATGTATCTATCCTTCCTCCTCCTGAATTAGGGGACGGCAAATTACTAGTTTCCTCCTCAGTGTCAGGGGTACAGATTGACTGGCCTGAAACCAAAGACATCCATTTGATAACTATTCTTAGTCCAGGGATGAACTCGTGCTGAGGTTGACCCAAAGAGAACCAAAGGAACACTGACAATTTTCAGAGGGATTCATACCCATGTATTAGTCAGCTTGGACTGCTTTAACAAAATACCATAGACTGATGGCTTAAGCAACAGTTTATTTTGTCACAGTCCTGGAGGCTGGCAAGTCAGTTCCTGGTGGTTTGCAGGATGGCCACGTTCTGGCTGTTTTCACATGCCGAATGACATCATTTAGCCTTAATTACTTTCTTATTCCAAATGCAATCACATTAGGAATTAGGGCTTCAACATATGAATTTATGGGGGACACAATTCAGTCCATAGCATCCTGTAATGTTCTATGAGGTAAGCAAGGGGTCAAATGTGTGTGCCTTCTACTCCTCCATTCTCTGAGAAGGAATCTCAGTCCCAGACTCTTGCTCTCTAATTTCACTGAATAGAAGCAATTAACTAGGCTCCAAGACAGAGGAAGAAAGAGGACCTGGTATGTGAAAAGTCACTGACAGGTGGGGAGAGGTAAGAAAGTCTGAGAGAAGCACCCCAGGCAAGGCAGATTCAATTTAGATAGGCAACTTAGAGAAAAACCTTGCCCCTGCCCTAAGAAGCCAATGCATCTAGCACCAAGACCTCCTTCCCAGTAAGTCTGTACTGTCCATGCTTTCAACCATTAATGGTAAAACCAGGGCAGGATGCCTTTTTAAACTGCACTCTGAATGTCAGAAATATACTGATTTCAGAAATGACAAAAGTACATTTTTTAACCACAGAAATGGGGTATTTCCAATCCCAGCTTTCGCTCAATAAAGCCTTTCATATTACCCTGCCATGGGCTATTTGTTTCCCTCAAATTCTTATGTTGAAGCCTTAACCTCCAGAACCTCAAAATGTGACTATATATGAAAAAAGGGCCGCAGAATTAATTAAAATGAGGCAGTTAGGAATCAGATGACTGGTGTTTTTTGTTTTTGAAATGGAGTTTTGCTCTTGCCGCCCAGGCTGGAATGCAATGGCGCACTCTCAGCTCACTGCAACCTCTGCCTCCCGGGTTCAAGCGATTCTCCTGCCTCAGCCTTCCAAGTAGTGGGACTACCGGCGTGCGCCACCACACCCAGCAAATTTTTGTATTTTTAGTAGAGATGAAGTTTCACTATGTTGGCCAGGCTGGTCTCAAACTCAACCTCAAGTGATCTGCCCTCCTCGGCCTCCCCAAAATGCTGGGATTACGGGCGTGAGCCACTGCACCTGGTCTTATTTGTTTTTGAGATGGAGTCTCACTCTACTGCCCAGGCTGGAAGCAGTGGTGTGATCTCGACTCGCTGCAACCTCACCCTCCCCAGGTTCAAGCGATTCACCTGCCTTAGCCTCCCAAGTAGCTGGGACCACAGGCGCAAGCTACCACTCCTGGCTACTTTTTGTAATTTTAGTAAAGATGGGGTTTCACCATGTTGGTCCGGCTGGTCTCAAACTCCTGACCTCAAGTGATCCTCCTGTTTCAGCCTCCCAAAGTGCTGGGATTACAGGTGTGGGCCACTGTGCCAAGCCTGACTGGTGTTCATAGAAGAGATTAGAGACACAGACAAAATAGAGAGGGAAGACCCTGTAGACGCAGGGAGAAAGTGACCATCTACAAGCCAAGGAAAGTCTTCAGAAGAAACCAACCCTGCTGACACCTCGATCTTGAATATCCAGACTCCAGAACTGTAAGGAAAGGACTCTTTTGTTTAAACCACTCCATCTGTGCTACAATGCTCTAAAGCGCAAGCAGAGTAACACAGGCTCCAGCCTGAAATGCTCTCTCCCCTCCCTTCTCTCAGCTACCAATGGAACTTCATTTGGCATTTAATCAAGCACCGCTTTGTGTTATCTCGCCCACTACTCTCTCACACAGTAAAATTGCTTACTACTTTTTTCCCATCCATCTTTTCTCCTGTTTCCCCAAGCAGGTCCTTCACAAAGTCTATGAGTACAGGCTTTGTCTTACAAAATATACACCTCGGAATCTTTCGATGGCTCAGCCCTTCAGACAGAAGCCACCTACTGCCAGGCCATGGGATGTGCTGGGAGCCAGCCAAAAAGGTCTGCTAAAGTCACAAAACTGGAGAAAAGTATGTGAAAGAGGGTGGGGATGGACAAGAGGAAAGAAGGCTAAGTATAAGAGAGGGCCAGACACAAAGGGTAAAGCAGCAAGCAAGTCAGCATAGTGAAAGCAATGACAGAGCAGGTGCAGGCAGTCTAGGGCCTGGTGTGGTACAAATCTCAAAGACAGGGGCTTCCAGTTGTCACTGGTAAACTCAGCTCTTTCCCCACTTTGTATCAATTTACACAGAGACCATCCAATTGTAAACGGTAACCGGGTTTCGGTCGCTGGCCAGGGAATGAACTCTCACACTAAATGCCTCTTCTCCCCAAACACTAGAAGACATGGGGTTTTTAGGACTAGGTGTGGGACAGGAGAGGAATATTAGCATGTGCAAAGTGAGACTCTAAATGTGCACGCACAATTCCTAAACATACATCTTCATACATCACATGTACCCAAAATGGTGGAGATTTTCTTTCAGGGAGGGAATTTTAGCATTGCAATGACATGATAATGATCTGAGGTCAACTAGGGCTTGCCTATCCTGCTCTACTCTGCAGTCTTATCTAACTCTGGTATCTGATCGGGGTCAAGAAGCTCTGGCACTATCCTGGGGCAATCTGGTTTCTTTAAGCAGCTGTGCCCATGAAGGGACCAAAGAAAAATAGTAAGAAAAAGGAGCTTTCCCAATTATTTCATCAGTACCCTTCCCCACCTCTCCACTTCCATCCTAGGAGGTCAGTTAGCTCCAAGATGTGAATCACTTCTGCCTGCACTGATTTCTCCCTCCTCGGAACGCAGAACAATTTTTGCCTCTGTCATCATTGGCAGGTGATGTCTCTTGATGGTTTTATTATTATTATTATTTTTTTTTTTTGAGACGGAGTTTCGCTCTTGTTACCCAGGCTGGAGTGCAATGGCACAATCTTGGCTCACCGCAACCTCCGCCTCCTGGGTTCAGGCAATTCTCCTGCCTCAGCCTCCTGAGTAGCTGGGATTACAGGCACGCGCCACCATGCCCAGCTAATTTTTTGTATTTTTAGTAGAGACGGGGTTTCACCATGTTGACCAGGATGGTCTCGATCTCTTGACCTCGTGATCCACCCGCCTCGGCCTCCCAAAGTGCTGGGATTACAGGCTTGAGCCACCGCGCCCGGCCCGGTTTTATTATTTAATCAGCTAATTTTGTCCTCAGAAAAAAGATCTGCTTTTTCAGGGTATCGTTAAGGTTTTTTTTTTTTTCATACTATATATTATTGTTTGTGACCATAAAACTTCAAGAAAAAATAAATAACAGCACCAGAAAATCTAGCCGTTAGTTTTAATCCTTCTGCACTGAAGCCTAAAAATATGAAAAATACAAGTTGTGAAAGTTTCTGAGTGTCCAGTGGATTGGAATGTCTAGGACAAAATAAGTCATGTGCTCTGCCCAAAGTCTCAAGGCAATCCAGTTGAATCCCAGTTTAAGAAGTCTTTGTTACGGAGCCAAATGTGTTCATCTTGAAAAGGATTTAGTCTAGAATCTATGAATGGGGACAAGTCCCTAACCTCTGGGCAACATTTCAAAAAGCCTACTGGAAATCATAAATTAACTCATAATAAAACTGCTCTGGTTAAAACATCACAGCTCTTTGCTTTTAGAGGGAATTACAGGAACTCAGTTCAATATTAACAATGGTTTGGAAGCCAAAACCTCTTAATGTCAGTTACACTTCTTTTTGTTCTTTTAAGACTCAGTGGAGGTGAAAGAAAATTTTATTTTTTATCAGTAAAAAAAACCAATTACCATTTCACAAATAAAATATTTTATTTATTTATGTTGAGACAAGTCTCACTGTTGCCCAGGCTGGGGTGCAGTGGTGCAATCATGGCTCACTGTAGACTCAATCTCTCGGGGTTAAGCAATCCTCCCACATCAGCCCTCCCAAGTAGATGGAATTACCACATGCCACCATGCCCACCTAATTTTTATAGTTTTTATAGAGACGGGGTTTCGGCATGTTGCCTAGGCTGGTCTCAAACTCCTGGGCTCAAGTGATCTGTCCATGTTGGCCTCCCAAAGTGCTGGGATTACAGGTGTGAGCCACTATGCCAGGCCAAAATATTTAACAGTAAAATATTTTAAAGCAAGAATTAGAAAAATATTAGCATTAGAAAAAATAATGAAAATCTTTTGAGGTGTTTAAGGGGAGAAAGCTCCAAGGAACTTAAAAACAAGTGATAGCATCTCAGTAACAGTCCATTTATTCAGCCCATACTGTGTGCTTTACCTAAGTGTTCACACTGAATCTCTACCACCGAATAAAGGTACATAACATACCCTGGCTTTACAGATGAGGAAACTGAGCTCAAAGAGTTCAGTCTGTCCAAGGCTGCCAAGCTGGTAAGTGACATGGCCAGGAGATTAACTCCAAAGCTCCACTGCCAGGCAGATAACAGAACATTTCCTGTTTTCATTCCTTAACATTGGGAGCAAAGTGTAGTCCTGCAAGCTTCCTGTTGTTGGGCATTTTCTGGTAAATCTTAACGGGAATGACTCCAGGTGAAGGTTCAAGCCTACCTAAAATGAAGGTTAGAACACAGCTGGAATACAGCAAGATTATCTTGCAATTTTCTTTACTAGGTTAAACTGGGCTTGAATGATGAGACAATAATGACTTGATCACTGTGGCAAAACTAATGGAAAGTTGGCTCCTGGCATGGACCTCTAACAACAGAAAGAAAGGCAGGATCACATCACCATGAACTCGTTTGGAATTAGATAAAGTAGATAAACCGACGTCTGGATATTTATTTACTGAACATGATGACAACCACCCAGCCTAGCAACCATCAAAGCCCTTTGGCTCTCAGGGGTTAAGCAAATTGAAAGGGATTTTTTCAAAGGCAGATTATAGGGAAAAAGTGGTTAACACCTTTGGTGGACTATTTCATAACATGAGACTTGAGCTTCATTAAAAGGAAGGAACTAAATTCAAAGTAGGTAGATGTCTGCATGCAAAGTGCCTCGGTTCTCAGGAGTCAAAGCAGTTTAAAGTTGTCATTTTAGTTAACAGTGAAATCCATCCAGTAATGAGCAAGTCAGCTACAGTGCTATTCTAAGCACAAATCTTTTTTACTTGCAGAAAGGCATCAGTTATTTCAATGCTACAATGTGTAATTAAAAAGTGAATGTGTTATTTTGTTTACCCTTACATTATTGTATTACTGCAAGAATAAAAGTTCTGATTTTAACTAAGCTACAATTCAATGTTGAATACAACAAAGTCTACCTTGACCTAAGCTGCCTCTATTTCTGACATGGTCACAGTCTAGGAATCAAGCAGCAAGTCTGTCGGAGGCACTGGAACCAGAGCAATTCCACCTTGAATAGATGCTGAGTAAAATGAGACAGAGACCTGCTGGCTGCATTCTTAATAGTCACAAGATGTTTAAGATTAAGGGAACAGATTAATCATGCTTAATAAACAAACCCAGGACTTAACAGATCCAGGAAACGTTTTGATGTCCCACTATCTGTTAGTCCAAACTGCACTATTTCCTAAGCCCCCTGGGCCATTTCGCAGACCCAGGTCAAAGTGAAACATTCCAGGGAGGTTTGGGTCAGGAGAAATACCCTGCCCAACTGCCTTTTCTTATCATACACAGCTGGGCCAAGGCCCAGTTGAAAGAACGTCCCTATCAAACCCTGCTGGGCAAAAGTCCAAGAAACATAACTATCACATTCTGTGGGAACAAGGGCAAAACTGCCTGATCATAGTAAATTTTATCAACATACTGCAGGCAGCAAGCCATACTGCCCATTCCTCTCCCCGCTATAAGTACCCCAGCCTGTAAGCAGCAGTGGGCTCTGCCATTAAGCTGATCTCCCATCTCCATAGGTTTTTGCAACATACCTGTGTTGCTGTTGAGCTGCCCTGTGTGTCATTCTTTTTTTTTTTTTGGGGGGGGGGGGTCTCACTTTATTGCCCAGCTAGTGTGCAATGGTGCCATCCTGGCTCACTGCACCCCCAGCCTCGCGGGTTCAAGTGATTCTCCTGCCTCAGCCTCTCATGTAGCTGGGACTGCAGACATGTGCCACCACACCCGGCTAATTTTTGTATTTTCAGTAGAGACAAGGTTTCACCACGTTGGTCAGGGTGGTCTCGAACTCCTGGCCTCAGGTAATCCACCCGCCTCGGCCTCCCAAAGTGCTGGGATTACAGGCATGCGCCACCACGCTGACCTGCCATTCTTTAACCCTTGCCTTCCCTTTAAAACCTAACAATATCTTAAGAACAAAAGCATTTGCTGGGCGCGGTGGCTCACGTCTGTAATCCCAGCACTTTGGGAGGCCGAGGCGGGTGGATCACCTGAGGCCAGGAGTTCGCGACCAGCCTGGCCAACGTGGTGAAACCCTGTCTCTACTGAAAATACAAAAATTAGCCGGGCGTGGTGGCGCGCGCCTGTAGTCCCAGCTACTCGGGAGGCTGAGGCTGGAGAATCGCTTGAGCGGAGATCGCGCCACTACACTCCAGCCTGGGCGAAAAAGCAAAACTCTCCGCTGTTTAAAAAAAAAAAAAGAGAGAGACAGAGACAGAGAGAGAGAGAGAGAGAAGGCACTGCAAACAGCTGGGAATGACAGGGCCTGAGATGAGAGATCGCCAGCTGCTGGCGAGAAAGGCGCTCAGAGGCCGCCCAGCCTGTGGGCTCCCTCAGCGCAGAGAGCACAGGGCTCGTTCCCCCGCTCAACAGCCGAGCGCTGGACACGAAGGGATCTCAGAGGCTGAAAAGACACAAGTGACGGCACCCGACGCAAAAACAAATGCCGGCCGTTTGCCGAAGGACGAGGGGGTCCTTTAACAGGCGGTCCACACGGCCCCTCCCAGCGCGGAGACGCGGCCCCTCCCAGCGCGGAGACGCAGCCCCTCGGGGCCACCCCGGCCGCGAACCGGCAGCAGGGACACCTGGGCGCGTCCCCCCGGGCGAGGCTGCCTGACGTGTGAAGCGACCCCAGAGGCACCTCACACGACTCACGAGGGTCGCGGGCGGCCTCTCCTCAGCCCTAAAGCTCCCACACGCGGACACCGCAAGCTTGGGCCACGTTCCGCAGACTGACCTTCCCAGCCGGAGCTCCTCGCGCATCGCCAGCCCCTCAGCGGCGACTAGCGCGCGAACAGCCTAAGAGACGCGCCGCCGGCCCCGCTGGAGCCGAGCGCCCAAGCAGCTGCGGTGACAGCCGACGCCGCTCTTAAGGTCGGCACACGCGCATGCGCGAGACGGGCGCGCTCCGCCCCACGCCGGTTTCCAGGGAGATGGGCGCATGCGCAGCGTGACGGGCCTGGCTGGCGGAAGGAGGTGCTACGGCGGTGGCTCCGGCGCGCTTGCGCAATAGCTGAACGCGGGCGTTTCTTTCCACCCTTTTTTTCGAATTGCTTTTGGGGGTAGATTCGAGTTACAAAATGGCCGCCCGGAGCGTGTTCCGCGGCGTTCCCCCAGCGATCTCGGGCTGAGCCGGCGCTGTCGCCTCCCTGCCGCACACAGCGTGAGGGCCCCCCCCCCGGGGACATGGTGTTTGAGTCTCAGGGCTTGCGGAGCACCAAGTCCTCTGAGACCCGCAGTGCAGCACCGGAAGCGGCCGAGCGCGCACAGCCCGGCTACCACCAGCCGCTTCAAAACCCAGCGCCGCCGCTCCCCGGGTTTCGCCGCGCCCAAGACCCAGCTAGTGCTGCGGCTGCGGCCGGGCAGGTGAGAAGGCGGCTGGCGCGGGACGGGAAGGGGCTGAGAGCGGGAGCCTGGTGCTGAGAGCCTAGGGCCGGGAGGATGGGAGCGGGCTCGGGCCTGTGGGGGGGAGTGCGAGTGCGGGGCTGGGGACTGGACGCTGGGGGAGGGGACTCTCGGGAGGGGAGCGCCGGTCCAGGACGGGGGCACCGGAACCTCAGGAGGGGGATGTGGGTTCAAAGCTGGGGGTGGGACCCTGGGGAGAGATACGGAGCCGGGGAACGGGACCTCGTGGAGGGGTGTGTGGGTTCAGGGCCGGGATCCTAGGGAGGAGGGTGCGGGGCCGGGGGACCGGACCCCGGGAGGGGCTTGCGGGGCTGGAGAATGGGATCCTGGGGAGGGAGCGGGGTGCAGGGCTAGGGGCGGGAGCCGTGGGTCGGGCGCGCGGGTGGGCGGCGGCGGGTGGAGGGTGGGGTGGGATGACAGCGGCGCGCAGCCCGGGCTGTCTGTGAAACGGGGCTCGGGCCTCCCCGGGCTCAGGCGTCGGACTCGAGTGAGGCTCGCCCTTGCGGCCCCGGCGGAGGTAAGGGGCTGGCAGGGCTGTCCCGGCTTGGTCGTCTCCGTTTCCTTCCTTGCGATGCCTCTCGATTCTTCTCCTTGGCCACCCCTCGTCTCTCTTCTCCTGGCCCCATTACCTCTCTGGCCTGGCTTCACTTTCTTACTGCGTTCCCGGGTCATCGATCACCCCTTTGCTCAATTTCATTAAGAAACGGTTTGGGGATTTAGTATTTCTGTCTGCTTAGTTGGTCCCCTTGTTCTCTCCGTCCAACAAGGGACCTCGCTATTAAGTGTAGCCAAATCTGTGTTTTCGTTTTAAGCTGATGTTGACAAGTTCAGCTCCAAGGGCAGAGCAGCACCGGATGCCAGAGACCACATAACTATATCAGGCACAAACGTTTTTTCCAGTTTGCCTAGTCTCCTACCACGTTGCTTGATGCCTAGCAATCATGTCAGATTTGGTGTGTGTGTTTTTTTTACCCACAAGCACAAACGTTTTTTAAATTTCGTTTTATTGGTTGGTTGAGATTCGGGTCACCATGCCGGAGTGTAGTGGTGGCTCACTGTAGCCTCAAACTCCTGGGCTCAGGTGCTTCTCCTGCCTCAGTCTTCCAAGTAGCTGGGACCACAGATGTGCGCCACTTTACCCGGCTAAGTTTTTATTTGTATTTATTAATCTAATCTATGTCTCTTTATTTTTGTAGAGACCAGGTAAGCTTCCAACTCCTGGCTTTCAGTCATCCTTCTGCCTCTCTTAAATTTTTTATAATAGGAGCTAGAGGTAAGACTCTCCAGGTGACAGCCTTGTTCTGAGTAGTTTACAGAGTGTTTGTTTTTCTTTTCCACTTCTACCATAAAAGGAAAATGTATTGTCTGACGTGTCATGCTTTGACATAAAATAGGGATTTGGTAAAATGTTTTTAAAAGTCTGGTTTGTAATCCAAGTTATTCTTCCATGCTGCAGTGCTACGACTTTGAAGTTTTGGAGGGAAGATGGTAGTTAATAGCCTTTGCTTCTAATTAAACTTGTTTTTTAAATAATTCGTTAAGCCCTTCCTCTGCTCCAGGCACTGTTTTTTGTTGTTGTTGTTGTTTAGACGAGTCTCACTCTGTCGCCTAGGGCTGGAGTGCAGTGGCACAATCTTGGCTCACTGCAGCCTCCACCTCCCAGGTTCAAGCAATTCTCCTGCCTCAGCCTCCTGAGTAACTGGGACCACAGCCACCCGCCACCACGCCTGGCTAATTTTTTTTTTTTTTTTGAGGCGGAGTTTCGCTCTTGTTACCCAGGCTGGAGTGCAATGGCGCGATCTCGGCTCACCGCAACCTCCGCCTCCTGGGTTCAGGCAATTCTCCTGCCTCAGCCTCCTGAGTAGCTGGGATTACAGGCACGCGCCACCATGCCCAGCTGATTTTTTTTTTTTTTTTTTTTTTGTATTTTTAGTAGAGACGGGGTTTCACCATGTTGACCAGGATGGTCTTGATCTCTTGACCTCGTGATCCACCATGCCTGGCCAAATGCCCTTCCCTCCTCCCCACCCATGCTTATGGCAACAGTCTTGCTCTGTTGCCCAGGCTGGAGTGCAGTGACATGATCTCGGCTCACTGCAGCCTCCACCTGCCAGGTTCAGGCAGTCCTCCTGCCTTAGCCTTCCGAGTTAACTGGGATTACAGGTGCACGCCGCCACACTCGGCTAATTTTTGTATTTTTAGTAAAGATGGCGTTTCACCACGTTGGCCAGGCTGGTCTTGAACTCCTGACCTCAAGTGATCCACTCACTTCGGCCTCCCAAAGTGCTGGGATTACCAGCCTGAGCCACCTCTCCCAGCCAGCTCCAGGCACTATTCTAAGCCAGTCTTTTTTTATCTTTCTTAACTTTCTTAACACTTCTCTGTTCCACAGATGAAGAAACTGAGGCACAGAAATTAAACATAACTTGCCCAAGGTCTCACAGCTAAAACATGGCAAAACAGGGTTCCAGCATCTTTCTGTATTTTTTTCAAATGTTTTATGTACTATCCCAGATCACTGATCTAATGACAGGCAGGACACCTGCTGTTGGAGCTGGGCACTGATGGGGCATCTGGGGTATATCTGTAAACAAAGATCCCTGCCTCTTGGTTATATACTGATTTGATGAGTATGTTAGGACGTGGAAGCACCTACGTTTATTTAGACTATTTTACTGTGCCACCTGTCTCCACTGTGGTATGAGTTAGAAGGTAAAATTTTCCTGTTACAGTTATTGTGCATTCAGCTCCATCCTTTTTTCTCCATAGTTAATCTTTTTTTTCTTTCCTAAAAAAGACGCAGTCTCGCTGTGTCACAAAGGCTGGAGTACAGTGGCGCGATCACAACTCACTGCAACCTCTGCCTCCTGGTTTCACGCGATTCTCCTGCCTCAGCCTCCCGAGTAGCTGGGATTACAGGCGCCGCCACCACCACCACAACTGGCTAATATTTGTATTTTTAGTAGAGACAGGGTTTCACCTTGTTGGCCAGGCTGGTCTCAAACTCCTGATCTCAAGTGATCCTCCTGCCTTAGCCTCCCAAAGTGCTGGGGTTACAGGCATGAGGCGCTGCGCTGGCCCCACAGTGAATCTTAAATAGCAAATATGACCATTGCGACTTCTTCTCCAGTGCTCTGATGGAGATGTTAATGAGGAGGAAAATTGCCAGAAAAATCCGTACAGAGACCTGGTTTCTGAACAGTAAAGAATTAGGTGTATTCCTGTGTTTCTTTTTGTTTGTATGGCAAAGGTTAATGACAAAACCAGGTGTTTTTGGGAGGACATTAAAAAGAGAGTTCCCAGGCAATGAGAAGTGTCTTTGTTTCTCATGCTTTATATTTTAGAATCTTAGACTTTAAAATCATTTGTAACCAGAAAAATAGTACATACTTAGAAAATGTAAAAATCATTAAGATGTATGAAAAGCTGAAAGCCCCTATGTAATTACTCTACTGGGCATCAGATTTTAGAGGCCTTTGGAATGCTAACATTTGCATTTTACTTTGTAGATACTAAAGAGTGGTGAGTCACTTTATATCTTAGTGACCGCAGAGTTCTAGGAAGCTTCCTCGGGTGTGTTGTGGTGTTGAGGGCAAACAGGAGTGGGGAGAGTATCAGGAAGGAGTTCAGGCAGGCTCACCAAGACCTGGCAGGTCCGCATAACTAATCAGTAAGTTCCTGGGCGAGGTGTGTAGCAAGGGAAATGAGAAGGTGTTTTTGTCCAGCTGAAGAGTTAGCGAAGAAGTCAGCACCACGCTCAGCAGAGCTCTGGGTTGTGGGGGGATTTTGTTACGATACCAGGATCAGAAAACAAATTGCAGATTTTAAGGGCTGGACAGGAGCACCCTCTTTGGATAGTTGCTGGAGTCCACTGCAGAGTTTGTGCTGTTCCCCAACTCGTGTGCCTTCCACTAATGCCATGGTATTGAAGAGTTAAGCCATTGATTTATTTTTGAAAGGTTATACGTTCTCAGAATACTAATACATCAATATTAATCATTTTGAACTTTTTTTTTTTTTTTTTTTTTTTTTTGAGATGAAATCTTGCTCTTATTCCCCAGTCTGGAGTGCATTGGCGAGATCTCAACTCACTGGGACCTCGCCTCCCGGGTTCAAGTGATTCTCCAGTAGCTGGGATTACAGGCACCTGCCACCATGCCTGGCTGATTTTTGTATTTTTAATAGAAGCAGGGTTTCACCATGTTGCCAGGTTGGTCTCAGACTCCTGACCTCAGGTCATCCGCCCGACTTGGCCTCCCAAAGTGCTAGGATTACAGGCGTGAGCCACCATGCTCGGCCTCATTTTGAACTTCTAAATGTCTTAGCAATATGCAGTTTGGAGCAATGAAATGTTCAGCCTTGGGAACCATGTATCTCTGTCTAGTGTAGCCTAAAAAACAGTATTCCTGTTGTGAAGTTGTTTCCAGTGCCTTATTGATATTCTTACTGAAAGATACACTTCTTTAATGGGTCATCTTTAAAAGAATTTTAAATTCTAAATTTTAAAATTATTTTGCTTATGGCAAAACTTTTAAGTATATGCATAGAATAAGTTAAGGACTATTTGATCATATATACAGTACTTCAGATTCCAGATATTAAAAATCAATTGATATTTTAATTTTTCCAAATTGAGTTGGTTTAGTGTTATTTAGGAGTGCTGGTGTTCCCTAGGAATCTTCTTCTGCCCCCTAGAAAAAGCCTTTATTGGATTTGTAACACTGGAGCCTAATAGCACCATTGTGAAGTTCTCATTAAAGCAGTTTCCAGTGGCATCAGAGGTGTTTTACTTCACTTCATACTAGAGTTAATTTTTTAAACTCTGTATAAGAATTTATTCATTTAGAAAAGTAAACTTTTTACTTCTGTTTTCTGTAACTTAGGTTGAAAACATGGCCAAAAGAATTGCTGAGAAGGAATTGACAGATAAGAATTGGGATCAAGAGGATGAAGCTGAAGAGGTAAAAAATAGCTTCCCTAAGAGTGATTTCCTGTTTATTCTGCCTTTTAAATTCATTTTAGGCTTCCTCGTGAAGACTTGTGATAAAACTAAAGGACCTTTCTAAAAATGTCATGAATGGGAGATGATAAGAAATCGTATGACCTGTATTTAGTGTAGAAATTTATTAATTACATTTCTTATGACCTCTAGTTAGTGTAGAAATTTATTACATTTAGTTGTGCTTTTGCACTAGTGCCTGTTCCTTAAATATTCTCCTTAATAGAAGAACTTTCCTCCTGAGTTTCGTATCCTTGAGGCATTCTAAACTCACGGTTTGCAGTAAGCCGTTTTAGTCATGACTGAAGGCTGAGTTAAGTAATCTAGTCATGAACTTAGCATACTGCTCAGATGTGAAAAGTGGCACACTGTCACCATCTCCGTCTGCAGTGTTCTCTTTCCCTAATGCTTCTTGGAGGCTTGCTTTATTTCCTGTGGGGTTTTTTTGTTTTTGTTTTTGTTTTTTTCTTTTTTGAAATGGAGTCTCACTTTGTTGCCCACGTGGGAGTACAGTGGCACAGTCTTGGCTCACTGCAACCCCCGCCTCCAGGGTTCAAAAGATTCTCCTGCCTCAGCCTCCTGAACACTGAGATTACAGGCATACACCCCCATGCCTGGCTAATTTTTTTGTATTTTTAGTAGAGACAGGGTTTCACCATGTTGGTCAGGCTGGTCTTGGACTCCTGACCTTGTGATCCACACGACTTGGCCTCCCAAAGTACTGGGATTACAGACATGAGCCACCGCGCCTGGCCATTTCCTGTTCTTAATGGTAGATCTGAGACCCGTAACAATTGCATTTATAGGAATAGAATTTAGATAGGCCTAGTTTCTTTTCCAGCAAAATAAAAATGGTCTCCCCTGAGGAAATCTGATCATTTTTCCCTTATAAACAGTAGGACTGGGCATCATAGAGAGACCCCCATCGCTATTAAAAAATAATTTTTTTTTAATTAGCTGAACATGGTGGCACGAGCCTATAGTCACAGTAGTTCAGGAAGCTGAGGGTTGCTTGAGCCCAGGAGTTCAAGACTGCAGTGACCTATGATTACGCCACTGCACTCCAGCCTGGGTAACAGCATGAGACCCTGCCTCAAAAACCAAGACTAGAACACATCTTACAGTGCCTTATCAGCAGTGTGTTACTCCGAGGCCAGATCACTAAGGAAATCTGTAACCAAGCTAACCTTTCAGGTTAACAGCATAGTGCTAAGTAAACAAAAGTTTAAAAACTTGCAGGTGTTCTGAAGCTTATTCTTAGACTGCCATCTTCTTTCTGAATCTTTTCTAGTACTGGTACGTTTTTCTTTACAAGTGCATGCACTCGCATATGTTTAGGGAAACTAGAATCATAAGGATTTTATGTTTGGTGAGCTAAACTGACTGGTGCTTTTTAACCATGTCTTTTGGTTTTTTGTTGGTGGTGGTTTAAGGTCTTAAGCACAGTTACATTCTGGGCTATAGTAACAACTAGATTACCATTAACAATTTGCTTAGACATTGAAATATTCAGGAATGAAAGAACTCCCATTTGAACATATGCTAATGAAATAAGTGTGCAAAGATTACGTTTAGTTAAGTGCATTTAACTTGGGACAAGTGCAGGCAGATGGTCCCCTCTGAGTGTAGGGATCCCATTAAGTGTAATAAAATCTGAAACAGCTATAGGTAGAATTTTTGCATGGGAAATATTTTATTCCAACCCTACAGGGTAAAAGAAGGGTTGTAAACTAAAGCCAAAGATCTTCAGCAGATTTCTGATGTGGATGTCAGGAATGTGGACATCAGTGCGCTTTGAGTACACTGTAGAAAAGCACTAGTTTTCCAGCAGGGTCTTAGGTGCCTCTGTGGCCTTTTGTACAGTGCGCAAGTTGGGCAGGACTCATCTTAAAAATCATGTGTATGTTATAAATATAAAATTTATTTATTTTTTGAGGCAGAGTCTTGGTGTGTTGCCCAGGCTGGAGTACAGTGGTGATGTCTCAGCTCACTGCAACCTCTGCCTCCTAGGTTCAAGCAGTTCTCCTGCCTCAGCCTCCCAAGTGGCTGGGATTACAGGTGCCCACCACCATATCCAGCTAATTTTTGTATTTTTAGTAGAGACAGAACTTTGCCATGTTGGCCATACTGGTCTCAAACTCCTGACCCTCAGGTGATCCACCCGTCTCAGCCTCCCAAAGTGCTAGGATTATAGGCATGAGCCACTGTGCCTGGCCAAAATTTATTTTTTGAAAGGCTATGAACAGTGGCTCAGTTCTAGCTTCTTGTTATTGTTGAACATTTTATCAGCTTTTTGGCTTTATCTGTTTAATTTGTACTGTCTTGCAGGTGGGAACATTCTCACTGGCCAGTGAGGAAGTCTTGAAGAACAGAGCAATAAAGAAAGCAAAGCGCAGAAATGTGGGGTTTGAGGTGAGTGCTTCCTCCCAGCTCCCGCTATGAAATACTCATTTGATATCTGAGTTGCACAGCATTCCCTCCGCTGGGAGCTGTGATACCAACAAATGCTTTCTCAAAATGCTTATTCTTTGATGTAGATCACGGGCGATAGAGAAAAACAATAAACACAGGTCTGGACCTTAATAAAGGGAGCTTATGCAGCTGAGGAAATAAATATAGACAAATTCAAGTTGATAGACAATATGGAAAAGAAAAACGAGCATACAGAGGTGGGCAAAGTGGCATCAGATTGGAGTAAGAAAGGAAAATGCAAGGATCTTCTGAGAGTCGTGTCTGCTCCCTGGGATCGAGGCTTGGGTAGGGGGAGCCCTTTTGCTTTGGTAGAAGCATTTCATGTGTGGATTTTCTTTCTAGTATAGTATAGTATAGTCTAGTATAGTATATAAAAGTGATTCATTCCTGTGCTAAGAAAAAGATTAATTGTAACTCTTAAATTGAAATAATGTGGTATTAAGCAATCACTCCGCATCTAAGAACTCTTTCCCAGTGTAGTCCTCTCCCTTCAGATACATTCTATACCCAAGAGCATGTGGTCTTGGTGGCCTGGACATCTGGTGTTAGGCAGGAGAAGCCACTTTGAACATCCTGGGTGGCAGCTTTGAAATAAATCTACCTTACCCCACGTTCTGCAGTGTTTAATTTTAAAAATCAAGAATATATTCTTGGGTATCTCTAATCTGAAAATGCAAAATGCTCCGAGATATGAAGCTTTTTGAGCACCAACATGATGTTCCAAGGAAATGCTCATGGGAAGATTTCAGATGGTCAGATTAGAGGTGCCATGCCAGTAAGCATAACGCAGACGTCCCGAGAGCAGAAACATTTCCATTCCTAAGCATTCTCCTTAAAGGACACACAAGCTGTTACAGCTAGTGCTCGACTTAACGACCACGATTGGGACCGGCAGACCAGTCGTAACACGATTTGGTCGTAAGTTGAGTAGGCTATATGTACGGTTGAAATGGTGTACACGGAGATGGTAGTGCTGCCGGAAGCTGGTCCGCACTGTCTTACGCCCAACCGGGCAACGTTTGCGCTGCCAGACGCAGAGCAGTCATGGCTAGCGATTGTGGTCATAAAGCCGAATGGTCGTAAGCGGCATAGGTCGTAAGTCGATCGATACCTGTATTTCTCTTTTATTTCCAAATAAAAAGGATAGTAAAGATAGATTGTTCACGCTTTGAGAAACTATGAAAAGAAATTATTACAAAAATATTAGTTACATTGCCAAAGTTTGATTGTAAAATTTTTTCCATTTGAAAATATGTAAGGAAGGGAGCCAGGTAGGTGGCAGTGGTGGGGAGGCAGTCTGAGACAGCCAGTCAGTCCCTTGAAGCGTCTCATAAATGTCATGGTATGTGTTAATGGGAAAACAATTCAAATTTCAAAAATATTTGCAATTTTCCTAGAATATATTACTGTTGATGTTAATAGATATTGCATAATTCAAGGCAGAGATACGTAATCATATATCAAGTCGATTCTCAAGTGGTTTTGGGTAGTCACTTGGCTAGTGAATGCCATGGCTGACACTATACGTCTGCCTTCTTTATCTGCTCCATTGCATGCTCTAGATGCATGAGAAGAACATCATTTCCTGAAGTTGTAAAAGCTCGTTCATGTAGAACTTCAGGTCAATAGGGGTTGCACTGCAAAGAAAGGAAATGGGTACAGGGGAAGCGTTATCTAAGATCCAAGCTAGAGATTAGGTCTTCTGTTTTATAATTACTTACATTTTGCTTAAAGATTGTATTAATTTCTTATTTGACAAAAATTATATGCTTATGGTGTATAACATGGTGTTATTTTCAAGTGTACAATATGTTATTACTTGTAGTCTCCCTGTGGTACAGTAAACCTGTTCAACTTCAGGTTTTTTATCTTTATTCTGGCCTGATTTTATGAATTGCCTTGACTAGTGACTAGGTGATCGATGTAGATATTGAGCTGAGTGATGTTTGATGGCTCTTTCACTGAGAAGATACAATCAGGGGAGGGATGGCTTAAGGAGGAAATGGCTGATCTTGGAAATGTGTTTGGAAGGACTCGGTACACTCAAGTGGAAAGGCCCTAAAGGACCGCTAGGTATAGAACAGGAATTAGGGCGAGGATGGGCACAGCTCCGGGAGCTCTTGCGGGGATTGAGGCCATGGGACTAGACCAGAAGAGGCATGTAAGTGGAGAGGGTCTCAGGGAGAATGAGAAACAACAGCTCACTGCGGAAGCCAAGGGAAGTCATTCTCAGGGAGGGGCATCCACCTGTCCATTCGAAGGAAGGTTAAGAGGTCGAAACAGTGCAGACCATAATCTACAACTTCAGCTGAAGGGATGAGGGAGGGAGAGGGCAGCAGCCCTTGGGCTACTAAGGGAAATTGAATATATGTAAATAATAGAAATCCACAGATAGTTTTTGCTGTAACTCTTAGCCTGAAGTTTTCATCAGAACTTGAATATTAGGAAAATTAAATGTCATGTCACCCACCAGAATGCTGCAATGTGGTTTTTCCTCAATAGTGGATTCAGTAGATCTACTGAGCACTGGAGATACATTGGTGAGTTAAAAACACCAACATTTCCTGTCCTTTGGAAAAGAAACAAATAAATACATAGTATTCATTTTCCCTCTGTAAGTGCCAGGGGGAGAATAAAACCAGTGAGGGAGACTGACCAATGCTGGGTGTGTCAGTACCCATGGAGCCCAGATGGGCATGTTTCTTTCTCTTTCTTTCTTTTGTTTTTTCTTTTGTGACACAAGGTCTTTGTTGCTCAAGCTGTAGTGCAGTGGCACAACCTTGATGCGCTACAAGCACTGCCTCCTGAGCTGAAGCAATCCCGCCTTACCCTCCTGAGTAGCTGGGACTACAGGCATGTGCCCCCACGCCCAGCTAAATTTTGCAGAGACCTGGTTGGTCTCGAACTCCTGGGCTCATGCGACCTGACTGCCTTGGCCTCCCAAAGTGCTAGGATTACAGGCATGAGCCACCACACCCGGCCCCCAGATGTTTATCTTCTTAATCAACTTTTACTCTCATTTTTCTGAATATCTTTTGTTTAACTTGTGGTTTTAGACTTTTTATGATGACTCTAGAGCTGATTTACTATCGGCAGTTTCCAAAATCCCTATGAATACCAAGTGTCTTTTAAATCTGTGCAGAATTGAAGGTTCTGAAAAGCCACTTGTGTCTTTACAGTTTGTCCATGAATCACTGTTTTAAAATAACAGCTATCAGTTTGGTGTGTTTGGAATTTTAAATGATGAAAAATCAAATTTAGAGCAACAGAATCTAAGCTGTATTTATGCATTAAAACTCATTTAAGTTAAAATTGTACCTTTGCCTGACTTCATTGCCATAAATATATCAGTGGTCAGTGAACATCTGAAATTCTGTAGATGAGATTGAAACTTTGGTTTTAGAAAAATATGCAATAATATTTAGGCTAACTGGCCTGTTTAGTAAATTAAAAGGTTCCAGTTTAATTTTCTTTGGTGAAATTGTACACTCATGTGGAAACTTAAGATTTGTGAACTCTGTCTTAGATGTTTGGTCTAAGAAGCAGATCACTTCCTGTAATGTAATCACTTCTTTGAACAACAAAAAAAAGGGCTTCTAAAAATTGTAGTGAGTTTATTTAGCAAAGCACTATAGATGGAGGAAACTTTCTCTAAAAGTTCCAGGGGCAGAGAGCGGCTTTAGCATCCATAAGGAATGCCAGCATTTCCAGAGCATTTTGGGTTAGAGATGTGAGCAGGCTAGCACGAAGGGGAAAGGCCTACTAGAAAACCATGTTCAAACAACCGAGTACAAGGAAGCAGTGAGAAAAACGAGGCTAAAAGGTTGTCCTGGGTTGCTCAACTAACAGGAGCATGTAGATTTGAGACTTGATCATCTGTGCAGGTTTTTGTAGGCTGAAAGCTACAGATGTTCTTAAGAAATTAGGTAAATGGATATTTTTAGTTAACCTAACTTGATGTTTCTATAATTTCTGTAGGCAATAAATGGTCTTTGATTGAGTAGTACATGAAGAATCTTTCATTTTGGATTTAGTTTTATTGAGACACTTCGGTTATTCTGAGGCTGGGTGGTGGGTACATAAGTTTATAGCATTAGTCTTTTATGTCCTAAAAATATACATAATACATTTTTAAAAATATATTTTTTAAATGTCCTTCCTGCCTATTTCAGGAAGGCAGCTTTGGGTTGTAAAGCTGTTCTTATGAGTAAAATCTTCCCATCTCATTTCTTCTACTTGTGCCAGCAATTTGCCTTACAATGCCGATTGCATATATGGAGTCTGAGTGCTATTTAGCCGAGTTGAGATTGTCACTCACTTGCTTATTTGGTAGTCAGAAGTATACTTGGCTGCGTGTGGTGGCTCATGCCTGTAATCCCAGCACTTTGGGAAGCTGATGTGGGTGGATCACGAGGTCAGGAGATTGATACCATCCTGGCTAACACAGCGAAACCCTGTCTCTACTAAAAATACAAAAAAGTAGCCGGGCGTGGTGGTGCGCGCCTGTAGTCCCAGCTACTCGGGAGGCTGAGGCAGGAGAATCACTTGAACCCGGGAGGCAGAGGTTGCAGTGAGCCGAGATTGTGCCACTGCACTCCAGCCTGAGTGACCAAGCGAGACTCCATCTCAAAAAAAAAAAAAAAAAAGAAGTACTTACCTAATGTGTACTCTGTCTTTATATTTCAGTCTGAGAGTGGAGGAGCCTTTAAAGGTTTTAAAGGTTTGGTTGTACCTTCTGGAGGAGGACTGTTTCCTGGATTTGGTAGCAGTGCTGGAGGGAAGCCTTTAGAAGGACTTTCTAATGGAAACAATGTAACCAGTGCCCCTCCCTTCACCAGTGCAAGGGCAGCGGCAGAGCCCAAGGTAGCCTTTGGTAAGTAGGCTCCCATCCCCCAGCCACCTCTGTATAAGTAGAATCTATGGAAAAGCGCTTTGCAGAGATGTTTTTCTTACACCTACTCCGTGTCTTAGAACTATGTGAGCAAAACCAGCCTAATAATGAAAGAAATGGAACTTAGGGAGGTGTTGGTTATTTACAGAGTAAGTGGGTAGAGCACACAGGCTAAGATCCAAAACAGACCTTCATTTTGTTCTCAGCTCTGCCAGTTACCAGTTGTGTGACCCTGGCCTCTAAGCCTCAGATGTCCAGTTTTGAAAGGAGAATGACCCTCAGAATTGACCTAGAGTCAAAAGAGAAAAGAAAATGCTATATACACATATAGACCCTTTGTGTGCCAAGGACTTTCTGTGTGCCTCACACCAAAATGGATGCTAGGAACTCAGATGAGGTTGTCCGTAGCCAGGGTCCCTCCCAGGCTAGGTTTGTTTGGGTATGGGATGTGTTGATTGCCTGATCCTGTTTTGAGGGAAATGGTTAAAAACTCTTGGAATTAAGGCCGGGCGCGGTGGCTCAAGCCTGTAATCCCAGCACTTTAGGAGGCCGAGGCGGGTGGATCACGAGGTCAAGAGATCGAGACCATCCTGGTCAACACGGTGAAACCCCGTCTCTACTAAAACTACAAAAAATTAGCTGGGCATGGTGGTGCGTGCCTGTAATCCCAGCTACTCAGGAGGCTGAGGCAGGAGAATTGCCTGAACCCAGGAGGTGGAGGTTGCGGTGAGCCGAGATTGCGCCATTGCACTCCGGCCTGGGTAACAAGAGCGAAACTCCATCTCAAAAAAAAAAAACAAAAAACAAAAAACTCTTGGAATTAGCAACAGAAAATGCAGTCATGGGTTAAAATCTTAGGAATGATCCTGACTGGTTGAGTTGTATTTAGCTAATTATTCTGAAAGTGTACACTGTTTGATTTTAATTTGGCAGAATGTTTAGTGTGATTTAAAATACGCGCTTTCTGTTAAGATCTTTAACTACAGCCATCCCCTAGTATCCTGGGGATTGGTTTCAGCACCCCTTGGATGTTCAAGTCCCATAGTGAGACCAGCATAACTCTTGGATAGGAAAAGTGAGTGTTCATATCTACTGGTTCCGCATCTCCAGAGTACTGCATTGAGATGGGGTCTCGCTCTGTCACCCAGGCTGGAGTACATTGGTGTGATCTCGGCTCACTGCAGCCACAACCTCTGAGCTGAAGTGATCCTCCCACATCAGCCTTCCCAGTAGCTGGGACTGTCGGTTCATGCCACAACACCCAGCTAATTTTTGTATTTTTTTGTAAAGATGATGTTTTGCCATGTTGACTAGGCTGGTCTTAAACTCCTGAGCTCAAGCAATTGGCCTGCCTCAGCCTCCCAAAGTATTGGGACTATGAGCCTGAGCCGCTGTACCTGACTGAGTACCACATTTCACAGGTGTGGAACCTGCAGGTACAGAAGGCCAACTGTGCTTTAATACTGTTTATCCCGACAACCTTGGGATTAAGTGTTAACGCTGACCTACTATTCTGACAGTGCTGTAGGCATCCTTTGGTCTATGGCCACACCATCCTGGACACACCTGATCTCATCTCAGATAGGCATCCATTTGAAGGAAAAGATTATTTTAAAAATGTGTAGTACCTTAATGCAAGCATATGGTTGGTAGTGTTCTTGCATAAAGTTTGATTTGATCTTTATTAATCAGCTTTACTGATAACCGGTTACTAAATATTACTCCTTGAATACATATTTCTTGAGCTGTCACAAAAATCGGATACAGTTGGCCAGGCGCAGTGGTTCACGCCTGTAATCCCAGGATTTTGGGAGGCCAGGCAGGTGGATCACAAGGTCAGGAGTTTGAGACTGGCCTGGCCAACATGGTGAAACCCCGTCTCTATTAAAAATACAAAAAATTAGCCGGGCATGGTGGCAGGTGCCTGTAATCCCAGCCACTTGGGAGGCTGAGGCAGGAGAATTGCTTGAACCCAGGAGGCAGAGGTTGCAGTGAGCTGAGATCGCACTCCAGCCTGGGTGACAGAGCAAGACTCTGTCTCGGGGATGGGAGGAAAGATAGGATACAATAAAAGCAAAAGTATGAAGGCAGAATGGCACAAAAGTCTAGATGATTCCATCAAGTTTGTCTTGAATGATTTAATTATTGACATCCTATAGGTTCTCTTGCTGCAAATGGCCCTACCGCCTTGGTTGAGAAAAAAGTTTCAAATCCCAAAACGAATGGGGACAGTCAGCAGCCCTCCTCCTCTGGCCTTGCTTCCAGTAAAGCTTGTGTCGGGAATGCCTATCACAAGCAGTTGGCTGCCTTGAACTGCTCTGTCCGGGATTGGATAGTGAAGCACGTGAATACAAACCCACTCTGTGATCTGACGCCTATCTTTAAAGACTATGAGAAATACCTAACAAACATTGAACAGCAGCACGGGGATGGTGGCAGGAATTCTGAAAGCGAATCTAACAAAACGGCGGTTGAAACACAGTCTTTCTCCCTTTTTGGCTCAACAAAATTACAGCAAGAGTCAACGTTTTTGTTTCATGGCAACAAAACTGAAGATACACCTGAAAAGAAGGTGGAGGTTGCAACTGAAAAAAAAACGGACCCATCACTAGGAGCAACAAGTGCCTCATTTAACTTCGGCAAGAAAGTTGATAGCTCTGTTGTGGGCTCATTAAGCTCTGTCCCCCTGACTGGATTTTCATTTTCCCCCGGAAACTCCAGTTTATTTGGCAAAGATACTACCCAGAGTAAACCGGTCTCATCACCATTTCCCGCTAAACCATCGGAGGGCCAAGTAGGTGACAGTAGTGAATGCAAAGGTAAGTACCAGGCTTGTCACTGGATTTAGGTTTGCGGAAGATTTGTGTTTCTTGAGAAAGGTAGAGGCCTGGATTTGGAATTGATCCGGAGTCACATTGAGACGTTGTCGCCCGCTCCGTGTTTGATTCTGAGTTTCAGATTCCTTATTTTTAAAAGAGTAAGTCCTATTTTGTAGGGTTGTTTATAAGGACTAAAAATAATAAAAATGAATTTTAAAACATCTGACCCTGAAAAGTCTCAAACACACATGGCATAGCATATGAAAAAGAAGTAAAGACATTTTTTGAAAATTGTGTTTTGGAAAATTTCGTGAAGTTCATTATGAATGTCCCCTCAATCGACCTGGACTTAGGAGATTTGACTGTAAATAAAGTCACGTGGCAAAACAGTACTTGACTATACAGTAAAAATGTAGACTTTGCATAGCTACAGAGAACAAATCCTCCTGTGGGTTTGGAGGTACCTCCTTTCCAGAGGACAGCCGTGGTGTCTAAGTGGCATCTCCTGTAGGTATCGTCAGTGCCCCAGACCAGGCAAAGTTCTGAGCCTTAGTCTGGGCTCTTCATTCCCTCTGTTTTTAGCTAAAAAGTAGGGTGACACCATAATACCACTTCCTCATATGGTGGTTGTGAACAAATTTTGTCTGTGAAGATACCCACTTGTAAGCAATTAAAAGTGAGACCGGCTGAGGTGGCCCACATCTGTGATCTCAGCACTTTGGGAGGCTGAAGTGGAAAGCTCACCTGAGGCCAGGAGTTTGAGACCAGCCTGGGCAGCATAGCAAGACCCCATCTCTACAAAAATTTTTTTAAAATACAGCCAGGCAAGGTGTTGGGTGTCTGTAGTCACAGCTGCTCTAGAGGCTGAGGTGGGAGCATCTCTTGAGCTCAGGAGTTCAAGGTTGCAGTCAGCCACGATTGCACCACTGCACTCCAGCCTGGGCAACACAGAAAGACTTTGTCTCAACAAAAGAAAAGGTATACTCCTCAGACATGTGAACATTGATCCTTGAGGAAGCAAACTGCATTTGCCAGTTTGCCACTGAAATATGTTTTTCTAGCAGGAAGCTAGACTTCCATTACTGTTTTGCCTTGCCCCACTTTCAAGTGTATGCTCAGGCACAGGCCCTCAGGACCAAGGGTAAAGCAAGTGTCTCCCCTTTTACTTCTTCTCAGCCTCCCAGAAATAAAGACACAGGGGGAGTCTTTTCCCGAGGCAGGCGCTGGGACAGCGACACTGGATTTGAATCGAGTCCCAGTGCATGCAGGACGCCCCTCAGTCCCTTGGTTATCACAGTTGACGCATCAGAAGACGGGAGATTGGAGTGATAAAATGGACAGTCCTGTCTGGTTTTAATGATGTGATCTAATCATCTGAGCATCACAGTTATTTTCTTAGAATTGCTTTTTAGTAAGGTTTTATGCAACTGCCATCCTCTTTAAGAGGATCTTTTATATATGTGGTTTTTAAATTTTTTTGAGATGGTCTCACTCTCACCCAGGCTAGAGTGCAATGGCACAATCACGGTTCACTGCAGCCTTGACCTCCCAGGCTCAAGCGAGCCTCCCATTTCAGTCCGCCAAGGACCTAGGTCCACAGGGATGCACTGCCACATCTAGTTAACTTTTTTGTTTTTTGTAGAGATGGTGGGGGCCTTCTCACCGTGTTGACTGGGCTGGTCTTGAACTCATGGGCTCAAGCGATCTTCCTGCCCGGACCATGCAGTGTGCTGGGATTACAGACATGAGCCACTGTACCTGGCCTAATACATGTGTTTAAATAGTGTTTTGTTTAAATGATGTCCCACATCTCCCATGTTTGGGAGACCCCATTAGTGGGTATACCATTGATACCAGAGCAGTGACCCATGTGGCAATTCAGACAAAGCTTAAATTACTTATGTTGGGGCTTTGGAATGATTTCTCTGACAGCTTGCCCCCTGTTTAAAAAGAAATGTATTTTTCTATCTTTGGCCATTATTGATACGGGTTGTGGATATATCGTGACAGGAATATACAGGGGTGAAGGTGTTAAAATCCTATCTGAGATGTCATTGTCGAGTGGGTAATTTGAATACAGATTGTTATTTTTCTGTAAATGTCATAAGTATGGAGATTTTTCCATTCTAAGGTTTTCTATGTACTGGGAGTTATTTTAGAATTAAGAAGTATATTCCCATTGAAAAGGATGCTTATTTTTCACAAAGTAGTTAAAATCCAGCAGGCACTCCCGACTCTGCCATCCCCACATTGGGTGTGCATTTTAGTCTGTGGGTACATGGAGTGCTCAGCTGGAGGCTTAGGATGTTACGTAACAAAGCTTCTGTTACTTTTTTAAGCTCTGGGTTGGAATCTGACTGAATTATTGTCATTTTTATAAAAGGTGGAGATGAAGAAGAGAGTGATGAGCCACCCAAAGTAGTAGTTACTGAAGTAAAAGAAGACGACGCTTTTTACTCCAAAAAGTAAGAATCACCAGAACCTGCTGGTGTGTGTGTTTTAGAGACGTGGTAGTGTGCTTCGGGCTGGAGAACGTCCTCACGGCACTGACTGAGCATTCAGTCTTGGGGTCAGGCTTTGCCTGCTCTCAAGTGGAACAGGAAAGAATTCTTGGCCAGTTTATTTTTAAAAAGCCAGTTCTAGAAATGTCCTGGTGGGCAGGTCTCACTCTTTTCTGTCACTTTAGCTCTTTTAAAGTACTTTAGAGACTGGCTCTCCATGATCTTCTCAACCCCCTCCCATCCCACCTTCTCTTCCTTTTTCTCCCTCCCGCTCCTACTCCCCTAACAAAGAAATCTCAAGTCACTGATTTCAGGTTTGGCTTCACTTACTTTACTCAGGAGGCATCTCTGATCCCTTCCTGGAGACTTGGTTGGCCTTTCTGGATTTTCTAATAGTCAAAAAGTTGTGCACAGTAACCATTCCTTCCTGTTTAGGAAGGTAAGAACTTGCATCTTCCTTTCAATTAAATGAGATTAGTTTTTAGAAAGATATTTGCTGAAAAAACTTTTGTGCAATTTCAGAAGCTTTTAAGATATATTTTTGTCATGCAAACATTTCAGAATAATGAGCCAGCAGTTTTCCATGTAACAGGTCACCACATCCTGTGGGATTCCCAGGTGTTAGTTTCAAGAACTTTTAAAAGAGGCCAACAGTTTCTTCTTTATGTGTTTAAATTTCATTACCCACATGACATAAAGGAGTGACTCAACGTTAAGTTTTGTTTTTTTTTTTAGAATGAATCAAATGAGGCCAGGTGCTATGGCTCACGCCTGTAATCCCAGCACTTTGGGAAGCTGAGATGGGCAGATCACCTGAGGTCAGGAGTTCCAGACCAACCTGGCCAACATGGTGAAACCCTGTCTCTACTAAAAATGCCAAAATTAGCCAGGTGCAATGGTGCATGCCTATAATCTCAGCTATTTGGAAGGCTGAGGCACAAGAATTACTTGAACTCGGGAAGCAGAGGTTGGAGTGAGCCAAGATCACGCCACTACACTCCAGCCTGGGCCACAGAATGAGAGACTGTCTCAAAATAAATACATGAATAAATAAATGAGTAGGGTTGTATTATTAATAACCTCAGGAGATGTATAGCATAGGAAGCTGGAAAGGTATTTGATTACTTTGTTATTAGACCCTACCCAAGAACGTTTTCCAAATTTATTTCAAAATGTTGGTCAGTCAAAAACTGAAGGAGCCTTGAGACTTTTTAAAGTAAGAAATAGGCCCAAAAAAAGGAGAGGCGGGCGCGATGCAGGACAGAATCTTTGACCTGTATTTGCTCCCGTCTTTAGAGGACCAGAGCAGCTCTCTGGAGCTCGGGGCCAAAGGAGCATAACAGGGAGGGAGGGCTGTTGAGCTCTTGAGTTTGACTGACTTGAGAACATGGTTTCAGAAAGTGTTATAACAAGTTTCATGGGGCCTATTGTTTAATTTGAAAAAATGGGGAGGGGTTTTAGTATCTCTAGGCAGATTTTCTTGTTCTGGTTTTTGCTCAGGCTCAGTTTGCATTAATTAAAGATTTATCCTGAAGTCCTGTACTCTCACTTAATACAGATTTTCCACACAAGTGTGAAGAGTGGTCGATAGAAAACTGTGACTTGATTCCTCATTGAGTGCTTGATGGGACCCATTACTTTTCTCCATAGGTGTAAACTATTTTACAAGAAGGACAATGAGTTTAAAGAGAAAGGCATAGGTACTCTGCATTTAAAACCTACAGCGAATCAGAAGACACAGCTTTTGGTGCGGGCAGACACCAATTTAGGTGGGTACCTTTTTTTCAGTTGGCACAAAATCATCATCATCACATAGTGTATAAAAGCCTTTACCCTGCTGATTCAAGGTTATTAATATATTTTTAAACAGCGCATTCTGGCCAAATTCATCCTACATTTATTGAGTATAGATTTAGTTTTGAGTCCCAGGATAATAGTGTGTAAGGAAACATAGATGTGTTAAAAGCTATAAACGAAATGATTCTTCATTTTCCTTTGTGTGAGGAATGTGACAAGCTAGAGATTAGGCAGTTTAATAAACACCCAAGGGAAATTAACCTTCTAAAGGAATCCTTTTCATATAGCAAGTAATCACTAACCCATCGCTGTCTACCCTCAGTCTTACCCTGAAAACAGTCCATTGCAAGGAGCCTAGCACCCAGAGGGAGGAAGGGCAGGCCTGAGGTGGAGTGTGCAGTAGTGGTGGTGAACAGTGGGCTGTGTGGCAGAAGGAACTCCAGGGAGGCGTTTTTCTTTCCCATGGGCTTAACTAGTGAGTAATAACATCACGGTCACGTCACTCTTGCCCAGGGAGCTGTGCTGGCCTCTGTGACAGAGATGTCCTTTGTTGGTGTGGCTCAGTGAAGACTCTGGGCTGTGCCACCGTGTTCTTTCACTGCAAAAACGGACAGCATTGGGAGGGCTGACAGTTCTGAGCAAGGCTGTTGGCTCTGTGAGAAACGCTGTGTGGGTGCAGAGACTCGGGCTGGAGCCTAGGGCGAGTCCTGCCTGAGGCTTATAGTTCTCGGAGGACCAGTCCTACTTTTGTGACATTCCCGTGGGCTCCCCGTTTCAGATCCATTAAGTTATTTTAATGTTTCATGTTTAGCATATTACAGACGCCTTTGGTGGAGCTGTAGTTTATGTAATTTTAATGGATTTTTGTTTGTTTACATACAGGCAACATATTGTTGAATGTTCTGATTCCGCCCAATATGCCATGTACGCGAACAGGGAAAAATAATGTTCTTATCGTCTGTGTTCCAAATCCACCAATTGATGAGAAGAACGCCACCATCCCAGTTACCATGTTGATCCGGGTAAAAACCAGCGAGGATGCAGATGAGTTGCACAAAATTTTACTGGAGAAAAAGGATGCCTGAGCACGCGAAGTCGGCTGTGGAATGATTACCAAGTTGCTGCTTCTCCCACCGCCCCTTAAAACTTAGTTTTTCTTCTCTTCCTTGACATTCTAAGAACTTACAGATAACTTAAAACTCCTGTGAAGATTACCGTAGCCAATAAAACCTTTAAATGTTAAGTGTCAAGAAACCGTACTCTCCCTTCTTAAGAACTGTCTAAAGTGTAAAATACATTTGAATGCAATTTTTGGAGGATTTTTTTTAATGTTCCCTTGTTTATTAAACTAACCATAAGCGATTTCTTCAAGGACTGCAATCAGGGTATCGATTCGCTTTCCCAAAGGCTCTTCCAACCGTGGGTTTTGGGGTCTGCCGCCACCACCACCAGAGAGGCTTTGGAACAGGGTGCCCGGCCGTGTCCAGAAGGAAGCTGGCCTGTATGCTTCTCTCTGGTGGGCTCGACCGACATGTGACTCGTTCTGTTACCAAGTGAACCGGACTGGCACGCTGTGACAGATGTTTGTCCTCTGCTTTTTGATTTTTAAGCTAAAATGTGAGTACTAAGTGTTCACCTCAGTGTTCTAATCATTGGCCTGTAACCCTGTGGGCCGCTTCACTAGAATTCAGGAATTGCATTTTCATTTTAAAAGGAAATGAGTAGCTTGTGAAGGAGTTTTTGGTTTTGTAGTTTCTATTCATGAGGTGCCGTTACTTCTTCATTCCCCTAAAGACAAAATTAAGGGGGATTGCCAGGAATGAGTTTAAAAGCACAAATTTGGTAGCTTATCATCTACACCATGGACAGTGAACCCGTATGAAATGAAAGTGAAGTCAAAACTATTGTAGAAAAATGATGCTTATAGGCATTTGTACCATGATCAACCCCACACGTATGAAAACCATTACCAAGTGAGGGCCTGGGAGCTTTGACACATGAGCCATGTGAATTCACTGGGAAGCATGGAAGAAGGTTGTGGAAGAGAAAATCGTGTATAAATTTTGCCTTTAACTTTAGACAGCAGTGTATTATGTGTTTGATACCTGAACTATCTTTTACTTTTTTAAGAAGATTCCATGTGTCTGGAAGGGAGCCATGGTTATGCACACAAATACCCATGTCACTTCTCCAGAGCCGTCAGGTAACATGAGCATTCTTTGAAGACTCTGGGCACATGAATGAGATTCAAAATTTAACTTTTAAATTTCCACTTTCATTTCTCATGAATCATTTGAGACTAGTACCAGCTGATCTTGTGTAGAGGCTGAGGGTCAGTGCCCAAGGGCTCACGTGTGTATGTTCTGATCTTCAGTGCAGAGTGTATTCTCATTTAGAAAATAGTCAAAATAATTGTGGACGGTACAGTTGCTTTTTTAAAACTACAATCTTTAGGTATAAAGTTTTTTTTTGAGGGGGAGGCAATTTTATGATCAGTTATGATTAACTCCTCAGTACCTGAGGTGTGTGATTGGGCCAATGCTGTCATGAGGTTCTTGCTGTACTTTCAGTGTTTTGATTCCACAGGGGGAATGTGGCCTAGTGTGTGGCTTTGGATGAATCCGTGTGGAGAGGTGTGCTTGCACTGTTAGAGGATGCATTCAGACGTAGCTGTAGGATGCACCTAGGGAGGACGTGGCCATTGTTTTTACATTTACTTTAGAATTGAGAATGCACGTGAGTTTTTGTTGCAGATGAGTTATAGTAAGCAAATGGTTGATGCTGTTAAAATAATATCGGCCCTGCCTGATTCACATGAGGTTTATCCAACTTTTAAAAAGATGAAGAGGAGGAACTAAGGGGAACAAAGTTAAGTTTGCTGCAACTTAGCCACACGTGTGCCCCTGGCATCAGCTGGAATCAGAAGCTCGCAGGCATTTTTGGGACACTTCAGTGTTTGTGACCCAGTACTTTGTTAGCAACTGTGTGTGTATGGAAAGTTTACAGAAAATGGCATGAAAAGATCATGATTGGATTACCTGTTAAGCCTCTCCTTTCTGTAAAAAATCGTTTCTATATTTTTAAATTAGTGGGTATGTGTGGCTTTCCTTTTTCCTAACATTCCCAGCAAATTGTTGCTGCTAAGACTATCACTGTTAAGGTGAAAATTACCGGGGAGAACGTGATGCATATACCGTAACTCAAAATGGGATATTTTCTTAAAGTGACTCTGTTATGCTTTAGAACTGGTTGGTTTCCACTTTATCACTGTAAAGAGCCTGAGTATATGTGGATTTTATTGTAAAACTTAACTCCTTTTTACTTGGGGCATGGGGCCCCTGGAGGGCTTACCTATTTTCCCCACTATGTTAACAGCTAATTCTGATTTATGGGTTTAGTTTAACAAAATTAGGCTTTAAAACGTTTAATGTGGACTGAAATTTTCATCTTTTGTCTGAGAATCTATGAATTTTTTCACATACAGGCCTAAAGTAAGGTGTGTATTTTGTTATTCTAAAATTGTTTGGCATCTTGACAAATACTAAGTATCACAGTGGCCTTTTTAAAAAAAAAACAAACCTATGTGTCCATCTCATCCTTTTGTGCATTCCTAGTAAGCAAAAAAATTTGTTATGCCATCTTCATTATTAGAATTGCAGACTGAAAATCTGTCCAGTTTTTAAATTAGTTTAGATTGTTTTCCACGGAAAGATAAGTCCGACTGTTCATGGACTGATTTTAAGAGGATTATTCTATTTTACAATTTCAATTCTAGATCACATTTTATATATGCTGCATGCCAAAAAAAAAAAAACAGCTACCTTTTCTGGTGTAGAGTGGAAGAAAAACTAATACTCTACCTTATTCTTCTCTAAGAGTTCAAAACAAATTTTCACTGAGAGCCTTTTCAGTAAAAGCTAAAGGTAAACAAGTTTGTTTTTTGAGCATTTGTCAGTTACACTATTTCAGAAGAGTCAAAATTCAAGCATGATGCATTTGAAGGCTTTGCAAACTCCTAAACCCCTGATGAGTCCTGTCATTCTGGAGGTGGGAGTTTTAAGTAGAAACTGGTGTGTCCTGTAGTATGGTAGATGACAGTGAGGTCTCTTCCAATCTGGCACTCAACACAGGCCACTGTCCGTTCTCAGCTAGTAACAATCATATTGAGGACATTTGATGCAGACACAATTGTAACAGAAATGTAAAACTTCTTAGCAATCAGATGGATAAATTGTTTGCTTTTCACTTTAAATAGGAAATTGTTTTCTAAAACTAAAATACTTGAATTGTCAGACAATATTATCTCAGCTGTATTAGTTTTTGAATGCTCCCATCAAGGCAGTGTAACAATCCATGAAATGTGAATAAATGAAAAGTAAACAAAATCCCCGCGTGTGAGTTTCATGTTGCTCTTTGATGCACGTGGCATTAACACAAGTCAGACCTGTGGAAGAAGCAGCACACAGAAGCCACAACTAGAACCCCTTGAACAACAGGAGGGTCGGCTTGGAGGTGAGAAGGAGACCAGTTTATTATCCGTCTCCTTGTTGGGGAACGAGAGTACTTTTAAACCATTCAGACCAAGGGTCTCTGTTGGATTAAAATCTTCACAAGTTGGAATGAGAACTGTTGGCTCTTAATGGGCTAGTATGCAAAGCATTGGCTAGGTGCTTTATATGGATTATCTTGGTCAGTCCTCACAGCACAGCTTTGAGACATATTTTTTAACCTTTCCGATGTTACACAGCATTTATTGGTTTATAAGGGGTATTTCCTAGTTTTAAAAAAAAACTGCAAAGACTTTAAGTTATCCATCAAAGTGTTTTCCTGAACTATGAACATCTAACAGAAACTATTTAAATGACGCTAAGAGAATGCTATCTGAAGAGTAAGGCCGCGCCTAAACCGTACCAGCCCTATTTAGGCATTCCACTGCATGGCTGGGCTAGAACCTGGCTTCTCCAAAGTGGTCCTGGGACTAGCCCAACACAGAAACTTACTAGAAATGCAAAGCCGGCTTGGTACGGTAGCTCATGCCTGTAATCCTAACACTTTGGGAGGCCAAGGCGGGTGGATCACTTGAGCCCAGGAGTTCGAGACCAGCCTATGAAACATAGCAAAACCCCTGCTCTACAAAGAATACAAAATTGGCACACACCTGTAATCCCAGCTACGTGGGTGGTTGAGGTAGGAGGATGGCTTGATTCCAAGAGGTCGAGGCTCCAGGGAGTAGTGATCATGCCACTGGACTCCAGCCTGGGTGACAAAGCAAGACCCTATCTCAAAAAAAATACAAACCCGGCTCGGCAAGGTAGCTCACACCTGTAATCACAGAACTTTAGGAGGCTGAGGTGGGAGGACTGCTTGAGCCCAAGAGAGAAGAGACCAGCCTGGGCCACACAGCAAGACCCTGTCTCTACAAAAAAAGGTTTTAATTAGCTGGCAATGGTGTTGGAAAGACTGCTTAAGCCCAGGAGGTCCAGGCTGTAGTAAGCTTTGGTTGTGCCACTGTACTCCAACCTGGGTACAAGAGCAAGACCCAGCCTTCCCTCCCCAAAAAAGCAAACCCATGAGCCCCAACTAGGCTACTGAATCAGCACCTCAGGTTGGAGTCCAGTTTTTAAACTGGACTCAGTGAGGTAGAATTCATAGAAAACTCACCCCTTTGAAGTTTATGATTCAGTGCTTTTAGCGTACTCCGAAGAGTTGTGCAGCCGCCATCACTGATTCCTCACCAGTCTTCTGGGTTTGAACACTGGGTTAGAGCGTGCATTGGGTGATCCTGATGCATGTTCAAGTTTGAGAACCACTGGCACACATGCTCTCCTGATGACATTAAAGATGATAGCCCATGAAATACCCCTCAGGCGTGCTGGGAAAAAATGGCAGTAATCAGCATTGCCAGGAAATATGCCAGACTTTGGACATAACCTTGTCTCACTTCCACATCGTCACATCCCAGGAAGGCAAGGGGTGATTCTACTTGAGAAAACCTAGGACCAGGGTTGAGTGTGTCTGGGGTGGTGTGGCTTGTTGAGGTCCCAGCCCCATACATCTCTAGCATGCCATGTTAAGTAAGATACACATGCCCACTAAATTACTCAACTACACTGGCTTCTGGAATTGGCTAAAATCCTTTGGGCAAAATTGTTTATTAAGAATAGCATAAAAGTCTGCTAAAAACCATGGTTATTTCAAAATGAGCAACCTAATTGTTTTATTAAAGTCAGATTCCAAAAGGAAAGACCCCAGTCCACACAAAAGAAATCTCTCATTAACCTGTTGGCTGCTGGAGGGGCTATGTCAGGAGGCAATTCAATGACACTGCACGGAAAGAAAAGACATGATCCTTTCTTTATCCCCAGAAACAAGTATTTTCCCTTCCTCATGTACATTTTCCAGCGGTTCTCGTCATATTAACAATCAGGCACAAAGTATAGCATGTTACCATGGTCAACATGTCTATTTACAATGAACTATGCTACTGTAGGGACTGAGTTTCCCCTGTCCTCCCAGTGTAAGATTCCCAAACGTTTTGCTTTCCGGTTAACTTTTGTCCTTCTAAGCTAGGCCATGACAGTAGTTCCTGAAAGTTTATCTAAGTCAGGATAAAGGAACGGAAACAGCAAAACTAGCCTTCAAGAGGAGGCAGTTAATAGGAATGAGGCTCCTGCAGACAGCTTCCAAGGTAGAGACTCCCCAAATATCTACTGAACATTTTTCAGGTGACTGCTTTAAAAGGACTTCCCACTGTTCAACCAGAAGGGGGCTGACCTGGATGGCAAGGAAGTCTTCACCCGCTAGACCGCCTCCTTCCTAACCGCCATCTTGCACGGCCTACCTTTGGGGGGCTGGGTCAGAAAATTCTGGTCTGGTGTTTCTAAGGCAGTGACTGTTTCCAAGGAGTGTCACTGGTGGGATGTGTCTTACTATATTCCTCAATGCAGGTGTTCCTCTTACCCCTCTTTTCTCTGCCCCTCATTCCCCATTCTGTAACTTTCTGCAGTGTCTTAGGCCTTAGGCCCATCGCTGGTAACTTACTAAGTCCATCTGACCATGGAAAGAAAAGGCTTATGGTGTGAAAGGCGACAATGACACTGCTTCCACCTACGAAGGCCTGCTGAGCTGCGAGGTGGCAGAGCTGTCTGCTGCAAACGCCTCATCTTCCGTTAGACCAGGCAGCTTACTGGGAGCCTGCAAACCCTGAACTTGGGGCTCCTGGCCTCTATTCCATTGTTTCTCCACTTCTGCGAGGGCTGAGGTTCTCTGAAAAAGCTTGGGAAATTTTGTAGTACAACTGAAAGGGTGTGCACTACACTTTGTGGAGGCTGAGAGCTAAACTTAAAATGCATCTTCTTTTTTGAGACATGAGAGTCTCACTGTCGCCCAGGCTGGAGTACAGAGGTACAAGCTCAGCTCACTGCAACCTCCGCCTCCCGGGTTCAAGCAATTCTCCTGCCTCAGTCTCCCGAGTAGCTGGGACTACAGGTGCACACCACCACGCCTGGCTAATTTTTCTATGTTTAATAGAGATGGGAGTTTCACCATGTTGGCCAGGCTGCTCTCAAACTCCTGACTTCAAGTGATCTGCCTGCCTCGGCCACCTGAAGTGCTGGGTTTACAGGCATGAGCCACCATGCCAGGCCTTGAAATGCACCTTGAAATGATTTAATTCTGCAAATATGGCATATCTGGCCAAACCCCAGTCACTGATGCGCCCTCCTCCTCTAGGACTCCTCCCTGGCTCACAGCAGGCAAAGCCAGCACACAGGGTGATTTATCTCTGCCTCCAACACACTCCAGTTCAGGAAAAAGTAGCTTGTGTGAAAGCTCAAAAAAAAGTTTAAGGAATCGCTGGGGGCAAATTAAGGTTCAATCATTAAATTATTGCTTTGCTGTAATATTTGTATTTACCCTGAAATGCCCGTTACAGAAAAAAGTAAAAATTCATTCAAGGAAGACACAGAAAAAAAGAATTTAATATTCAATATGCAAACCAGCCTTTAAAAGAAATATGAAATCATAAAGCAAAGCTAACAGGCAACTAACAAATACCGCCTAGAAAAGATTTCTCCTGCACCTGGAAGATGGTTACTAAAAGAAGCTGTTGGTAATGCTTATGGAACGACCACTGGCAATTAGCATACCGATCTTAGGCCATCATGGCGTTTTTGCTAAAATACATTTTGTAGAAATCATTAGCCTCAAAGTAGTGAAGAATCTCTACAGGTTGTCTTGCAGATTTAATTACTCTTACACAGATAATTCAGTTGGAAACCATAAAGGATACCTATTTACACCTAAGCTGCCTGGCCTTCCACAGAGCAGGGACTGAAGGACCATAGGGGGGAAAAAAGCAAGTTTGCCAGGGGCTCTGTGGGGTGGCAGGGTCAGTTACTTGATCTGCTGAGCTCGAGGAAACGGAACAATGAACACGCCTACCTGCCTTAGGAACCATGGGAAACTAAACTCCACCCACCAGCAGCCGCCTCCACTCGTGGCTCCACCTGCGGGAGGAGCTCTGAACCCAGACCAGAGGCCACTTGGTGTCCCAAGGTGTGCTCCAGAGCTCAGAGAAAGGGATCGGGGTCCTTTGGCCACTGAGGATCAAGCTAGTCAGTGAAAAAGAAAAAAGACCCAGGTGCCCGTCACCTGGCTCCCAGGGATCCTCTGCAAAGAGCCACATGGCACTCTGGCCACCTGCTGAAGAGCTGCTCTCCCTTGAAGGACCGTGGCTGCCCCTCCAGAGGCTGCTTCCATTCAAGCTCAAGAGTACTTGCATCTCCTTATCTCTTAGGGTCCTGGTCCTATCAGGTGGTCAAACAGAAGTACAGTAATTCTCTTTCTGATGCAGACTAGAACAAGTGAACAGGAAAAACCAATGTGCTGTCAAGAGACTTGGCTTTGGAAGCAGGACATGAAAGCAAATCCCACCTAAATTTGAAAATTGAGAAAAACATCTGTGAAACCTGTTAAGTTCACTAAAAAGTTGGCAGAGGTTTAATATGTCTTGAAAGAATTTGAGCCAACAGCTTAAAACCACCACGTTAGGACATGGTCAAATACCTGGTTTTCCAAAAGGCAGTTGTTAGAATGCACCAGCTGCACACGCCTTTCCTCTGGGATGTCTTTCAATGAAAAAAAAAGCTTTACTTTGTTCTTCAGAAGTCTTCTACCACTAGTCTATTTGTGATTAACACAGCAAAAACAGATCCTGGTTTGTGGGAGGGCACCTGAGGAACAAGCCTTTGTATACCCTTCCCGTGCCTCCGTGTGGAGGGCAGCTCAGCGGAGGGTCCATTCACAGTCTGTAAGAATCCGAAAGTGAGCAGACTCCACCCGCCAACCCAGCCTGCCTCCAAGGTGACTTGGCTTGGAGGATCTTGCTTCCCGCTGCTCTCCTCCTGAAATGATGAGCCTTGCCTGTCTCTGCAGGCAGCTAGGCCCTTCCAGTAGAACATCAGAATGGAAGACGGCCACTACCTGAACTTACAGGTGCTCCGGAATCTAGGATCATCACGTTCCTTTCCATGAAAAAGCCCACCTCATGACTTTCTTAATGTCCTAAAAAGGGACACCTAGATTTCCTCAACAGAAAACTGCTTTAATCCCAAATTCCCTTAAGACCAATATGCCTTAAAGGGAGTTAAAGATCAATGTCTTTTTTATTTTTGTTGAGATAGAGTCTCACTCTGTCCCCTAGGCTGGATGGAGTGCAATGGTGCGATCTTGGCTCACTGCAACCTCTGCCTACCAGGTTCAAGTGATTCTCCTGCCTCAGCCTCCTGAGTAGCTAGGATTACAGGCATGCGGCGTCATGCCCGGTTAATTGTATTTTTAGTAGAGACAGGGTTTCACCATGTTGGCCAGGCTGGTCTTGAACTCCTGACCTCAGGTGCTACGCTCATCTCGGCCTCCCAAAGTGCTGGGATTACAGGCATACCGTACCCGGCCCCAATATGTCTTAAAGGTGGTTTGGATTAAAGCAGTTTTCTGTTGAGGAAACCTAGGTGTCACCACGCGTGATCTTCCCTGTATTACACAAGAGGCAGGCGTGTTCCCAGAAAAATTAAAGATGGCCTTACAAGTACAAATGTGCCAACACCAGGACTTTGGGGAGCCTGGCTCTAGCCCCGCCACCTGCTACCCTATTACTTTACTGCACACGTCATTTCTGACTTTGGAAAAACAAACCTTCCTGTCTAGTTCTCAAGTGGCCAGGTGGCTCTGAGCAAGTTTTAAATTGGCATCAAAAGCACCCTCTGGAGAGGGCTGTAAGGACTGAGAAGGGCGGACCCCACCAGGTGTCTGTCCCTCTGTCCTGGTAGCACAGCGTGGCTCACCATGCAGGCTGGGCCCGCATGCCTGAGTTTGACTCCCATGGCCAGCCCTTGCTGTTCTGTTTGGGGCAGTTCCCTGCCTGTAAGATGGGGTCGGATCAGCGCCTGCACACAGTAGGTGCTATGTGTTGCGTATAAAACGCCAGCCCGCCATGTGCTTTATTTACATACCTTACAAATTGAGGGCTGATCTCTAAAATACCACGGTTTGCACATATTTCTGTGACCAGCAAGCCCTTTCACACGTCACTGTGACTGGTCCTCATGGTCACCCCGTGAGGCAGGCAGCACTTACGTTCGCCGTCACATTCACCATCTTACAGAGGAGGAGCCCGGCCCTCCCGGAGCCAGCCAGGAGTGCTGGCCGATGCTGGCCCCAGGGGAGAGAACCTTCTCATGCCCCTTACCAATGAGAACAGAGGGCAGGCTGCTGTGCTGCTCTCCACCTGGACTGCCTCCTCTTCCCACGGAGGACTGTCAGGGCTGTATGCTCCCAAGATCCCCAGAACAAGCAGGGGCAAAGTTCGTGAAGAAATAGGTGGATTTTAGCCACATGGACACGAGCCTGGAAACAGCGTTTGGCATCTCCAGAGAGCATGCAAATGGGGCTAGGCTGGAGGGCTGGGCCACGCTCGGGCTCCCTGAGGCTCTGTCCGCACATGACCTGGCTCTGTGCTGCCCTAAGACATGGGTTTGGAACATGACATCGTGCAGAGCAGAGCGGTCAGGCCTGAGTGGACATTGCTGGAGAAGGAGAAGAATGTTCACATTCCCCACCAAGCACGGTCTCAGACTAGGTTATCACAAAGGGCATGGGGGAGACAGGCATCCCAGGGTTCTAACATCTGACCCGACCTACGTAGCATGACGGGTGACTGCGCCCTGACCCAGCCACACACTTGAACCCTGGAGACTTCAGTGAGGTAGGTGGTATCAGCCCCATTTCACAGGTGGGCAAACTGAGGCAGAATGAAATGCAATAGCTCGCTTTTAATAACAACATACAAAAGTCTGGAGAAAGCCCCAAAGTAGTTCCCTGTTCCCGGAGCCCAGAGAATAAACAGGAGAACAAGCCCCTCCTCTTCCCCCACAAAGACCCCTAAACACATCACTGGAACCCCTCAAATATTCCTGGGGACTTCAAACAAAAAAAAAACCACAGCAACAAAGAGACCCAGCTTCCAGTTTATTCCCAGTTGGGTAGGGGACAGCCCTGCTCTTGGGGAGGGCACAGGGCATCCTCGCAGATGGAAGCTACTTCATGCTGGACCAGGCCAAGGCTGGGCGGCTGCTCACACAAACCGATGGGAGTGCCTGTGTAAGCCTCTGAGCAACTCCTCTGCCTCAGTGAGCTGGTCTGAGAGATGGGACCAGCACACTCCATCAAAAGAAGTGAGCTCTAGGAAACCAGGAAGATGAAAAGGCACCCCCGCCCCCAGAAGACGGGGTCCCACCTAGAACCTTCCTAGGAGGATGCCAGCCCCACCCCACATCAGACACCCTTAGGCAGACAGCCCGTTCCGCCTGGCTACTGAGGCCTCCTGACTACCCTCAGAATCCAAATTCCGCGGGTCCCTCCGTCCGAGGCCCAGTGTGGGATGTCCCAGGTTGGAGGTGTGTGTGTTGGCGGTGTTCTTTGGCTGGAAGCAAAAGGCCGTTCTGGCGGGATCGGGGCCGTCTGCTCAGCTGGAGGCCTTTGTGGAACTGGGCACGGGTGAGGTAAATCCCAGCCCAGAGCAAGGCCATCAAACTTCCGGTGTTCCCATCTCCTATTAGAACAAGGTGGTAAACCAGGAGGATGGGCTGGGACTGACTCAGGTACCGAGATTCACCCACACGGCATTACAAAACCTTCAACTGCGTTTCCTCAAGGCGTGGACAGTCCGACGCGCTGAGTGCCCTGGCTGGGTGGTTCTGCCTCCTGCTGGGGGACTCGAACATGGTCGCGCGGTCTGGCCCCACTCTGGACATCGGCTGCTCCCCCCGCTCTCTCTCATGGCCGCTGGCATCTCTGGTCCTCTTTGGGTGCAGAGGGCTCTCCAGAGATGGGTGGGGGGTGATGGGCAGGGGGCACAGGGCGGAGCAGAGCCAGCAGGGGAGGGAAGAGGCACTTCAGTTTGGGCTGGTGTTCGTGGAGTCGGCCCTGGCCCCGGGAGTCGAGTGGCCCCGCCTGGCTGTGGCTCCAGCGCTGGCGTGTCACAGAAGACCCCGGTGGCGGTGGACAGGTAGGCACTTGGCAGCACTCCCAGGGCTGGGCCCGGCCGGGGCTCTGCGCAGGCTCCGCACGCAGCTAGGTCATCAGGATGGGCTTCTGCCGAACTTCCAGGATGTCTACGGCCGGTGGGAGGGAAGGACATAAACAGCAGCACTCAGCAGCAGCGGGTGCCACGGCCACGCCAGTGCCACTTCTAAAGGAACCCGCCTCGGCCACTCGCGCATCTCCCGTCCAGGCCTCACAGACTGCAGGGGAGATGCAGGCTCCACCATCCCGACCCTGCAGACTGGGAAAGGGGCCTGCAGCCGTGGTGCACCACGCAGCGGCTCAGGGATAAGCTGGTGTGGGGGCCAGGGCCACTGCCTGTCACGGCTGCTGCAGGCCTGGATTGGTGAGGTGGCAGCAGGTGCACCAGAAAGCTGAGCAAAGGAAGGACTTCGGCTCTGGGAAAGCTACACTCCACCCAAAGCCTGAGACAAGGAGGCCGAGAGCCCTGCAGAGAAACCCGACTGACAGGACTGGGCGGGATGACTCCAGGTGGCTGGAAAGACCCAGGGCCCTGAAGGCAGAGCTGGCTATGAGGAGGTGCGGCTGTGTCCCCGCATCAGCCAGCATTACCTGCTAAAATCCGATGCAGCGTCCCCGCATCAGCCAGCATTACCTGTTAAAATCCGATGCAGCGGCAAAGTGACGTAGGTTAAGTGTGCATAGAGAAGGAAGTTGCCATCCGCTCTGTTGAGCTTCAGCCAGGACCCGACCAGCGACCGTCCCGTGCCCGACAGGGACCGAGACCGCAGGTTGGTTGCATTGTGCAGATCGGCTGGAGGACAGAAGGCCGGGTCAAGGCCCACAGCACGGGCTGCAGGGGAAGCAGGAGGCCAGCTCCCAGTCCAGGCTGAGGCCACACTCTACCGAGGACAGGGCACTCCTCACCAACACCCCCACCTCCAGCAAGAGCTGCCGCCTCCTCACCTCTGGCATACCTCCCCGCTTCCCCCAGGGCCCAGATCCACGCCTCCACCTCCAGGAAGACTTCTTTGGCCACCCCCTCATTGCTCCCTTCTCTGTCTGGAGCTTAGTCTCCTCCGGGGGTCTGGCATACACCACACTGTGTAATTCTCTGCGTTCGTGGGCCCTGTCCCTGGAACTAGGCACCGCCACCTGCAGGGCATGGGAGCAGCAAGGCTTGGCCAACCTGCACGGTTACCCAGTCTTAGGTCCAGGCTGGGGGAACCTGCCCCAGAGAGGCAGACTTGGGCAGTGATCAACACTTCTTGCTGATTCGGGAACAGGCGCAGGTGGAGAAGCCGCTGGCCCAAGTTCACACAAGAGTGGGCTAGGGCCAGTGCTGGAGTCCCTGACCCGGGCCAGGGCCTTGGGCAGTCAGGGCTCCTGCCTCTTGGTCCCACTGGTCAGGACAAAGACTGCCACCTCTTCTTAACAGTGCTGCAGCCCCAGCTCCCTGCTGGGGGAGGTGCTCAGTGGGAGTTGTCAGCAAATCCTTCACTTCTTTTTTGAGACGGAGTTTTGCTCTTGTTGCCCAAGCTGGAGTGCAATGGCTCAATCTCAGCTCACTGTAACCTCTGCCTCCCAGGTTCAACCAATTATCCTGGCTCAGCCTCCCAAGTACCTGGGATTACAGCCATGCACCACCATATCCGGCTAATTTTTTGTATTCTTAGTAGGGATGAGGTTTCACTGTGTTGGCCAGGCTGGTCTCAAACTCCTGACCTCAGGTGATTCACCCGCCTCGGCTTCCCTAAATGCTGGGATTACAGGCATGAACCACAGTGCCCGGCCGATCCTTTACTGCCATACACTCAACAGACATGCACACTGCGGAGCCAGGCACCCGCTGGCTTCTGAGAATGACAGGAACACACGCGGTCTATGCCAGGAGAGGTGGCAGAACCTCCCAACCTGTCTCTGATGGCCATCCCTGTCCACAGAAGCCATTTCCCACAAGGACTGCTGAGTGGCATTTCGAATATGCTAATCTGATTGTGTCACTCCTCGCTTAAAACCACCCAGTGGCCTCC